ACCAGGAGCAGTGCACTACCAGCAGAACCTCTGCTTCTGCCACGTGGTTTTCTCTACACCAATACAAGACAGCAAACAGTAGCTGAGTCAAGCCAAGAATACTCTCCAGCAAAGAAACCCTGCTATTCTCTGCCACCCAGCTTCTTTCTGTCCTGGCAGGCCATCCTGAGGTACCACATCCCTCCCCGGAGGAGCGAGGCCACCTTTGCCGTGTCCGTGCAGACAGAGTGCGCCGTGCCCGACGCCACGCGCTTCCCTGTCACCATCCGTGCTCGGTAGGAGACACTGAGCTGCCCCTTTCCTCCCCCGTGCTGAGAGGCTTCTGGCACCACACCAGTCTCTTGCTGGCAGGGTTCCCCTTCACTCCTGGGGTCCAAGTGCTGAGGTGACCCCACTGTGCTCTCCCCAGCTGGGTGAGAGGCGCAAGGCCCCAGAGGGGTGGCTCAGACTGTAGTCCTGCCTTGTCCCCTGCCCCTCACACAATCCTCCCAAGGTCTCTGGGTCTCACCCCTGTCTGGGATTAGGTCTCAAAACCTAATGATGTGAAGGTCCTGTGGGACTGCCTCCTACTCCTAAGTGTTCCCAACTCTGCTCCTGGCTGTCACACCACTGTCCTCTGCTGTACTCCCACCTGGCTTTGGGACAGACCTGCCAAGAGAACAGGCATAGGATGTGATATTCCCCGCCATGCCTAAAGAAGGTAATACCATAAGGCTTCCAAGGGACTTTTTCTCCTTGGCACAATTAAAAGCAAGAACAAGGGAAGCACAAAGATTTATTACAGTGTAGAAACAGGTGTGCTTAAAGGAGAAACACTGGAAAGAAAGGCACATTCCTCCACCTGAGTACCAAAGCTGGGCTGGAGTATCTGGAGATCATGGCTCAGAAAGTAACATTAGTGCTGTCCCCTGGGTTCCTGCTGCAGCTACACAGGGAACCGTGTGTCCACCAACATGGTCCTGATCCAAGTGGAGCTGCTGTCTGGATACAGCCCCGTGGCAGGTTCACTGGAAGAGGTGAGACTGTGAATTTGTGTCCAGCTGGGATGGGAACAGTGATGGATGTCCATCATGCAGGACTGTATGCTGAAATGTGATCATTCCTGTGGGCAGAGAAACAGGTTATTTTCTCTCTAAGAAATCCTTATACTCAAAGTCTCTTCCAAGCTGCACCTTGCCTTTCCCTACATCAACAGCTTCCCTGGCGATGTAAATATTTGCCCGTACTCTCACAAGGACAAACACCCCTGAATATTTCTGCTTTTTATTAAAGCCTTTCTGATATTTTCCCCCTATTTTCAGCTAAAGAAAATGCCTTTAGTGAAGAAAGTTGAAAGCAAAGCTGACCAAGTCGTTCTCTACCTGGAGGAAGTGAGTATAATTTGGGCTACCATCATCATTAAAAGGTGCTATGGACTGACAGCTTTTACTCTTGTTTACTGGTTTCATTACTATTTTAACTGTCCAGAGCTGTTGTTCCTGCATACCAGCCACATTTGTTGATCTGGAAAAGTGTTAGTTGGCAGTTGTTCATCCATTGAGCCACTTACAGGGCTACTTAACTTAAGTGAAACACAGCAAACTGTCATGTTAAGCCTACATCTGTTGGCACTGTTAAGTGACTATTGATAGTCCATATATATGGTGCCTGAGTAAGACTGAGGAGTAGCAATAAGATCCATCTAGCAAATCCAAGCAAGCCTGAAATCTTAGAAAGCTCTTAAGCAACCTGAATGCAGCAGAGGGCATGCAAGATTGCTGATGGATTTTGCCAAGATCCTTTGAAACTAAACCAGATGCTTGTGTGAACAAAAGTGCTCGCTCCACAGCCTCATGAATCAACAGATTAACAACCACTCCAGCCTTTTTCTAGCTCCATGAATACCTAAACAGCACCAGAAATGAGACCTGGCATGTATTTAAAACTCCAGGATTTCTAAGGAGCATTTCTGTGATTCTTCAACCTTGGTTTCTGTCAGTAGGCTGAGCTAAGCTAGCCCTACAGGAGGTGGGTTAGTGTCACATGGATGCATTAGGCTTGCAGAGCTGCTGCTTTCATTACATCTAAGCACAGAGCAGAAAACAGAGAGAAACATTTCAGCTCAAGCTGCCAGGAAATACAAGGTGCACTGCAATCAACAGCAGGTCATGTAACTACAACCCTACAGCAGATGTAACTACTACCCTACACAGCTTGTACTTGTCTGCTTAATGATGAGGATTATGTGAGACTGGAGAATAAGAGCTGATGTAACTGTGAATAAGAAAGTAGCCACTGAGGCCAGGTGCATGAAAGAGCTCAGAGCAGAGCTGGATGGGAAGGTGGGATTGGTGGGGAACACTAGCACACCATATAGGTAGTGCACACTGACTCTGCAGGTTTTTTATGTTCCCCATGAGCTGAGTTAAATTTGGTGACCAAAAAGTCACAGAATGGGAAGTAAAAGATATTCCTGAGATGGACTAGAAAGCAGAACAGATGTGTTACAGTGGTGAGGTATCTACAGAGCCTGAGTGCAAGTAGGTGAAAGGGGTTGTCTTACAGGACTTTTCTGTCCCTTTCTGTTTTTAATCCTTGCATTTTTTGGTTTTAGCTGACTAGACAGCCTCAAACCTACACTTTCCTGGTGGAGCAGGACATGCAAGTGAAGGATCATAAACCAGCCAATATCAAGATCTATGATTACTATATGCCAGGTGAGCTCAGATGCTGTACTGCAAAAACCACCCAAATGTACTTCGGGAAAGACAATTTCTGAATTTTGTTGAGTCTAAGACAATACCATCTCTCACCTTGTTATCTGACTGTCCCTTAGAAGCTCTCTAGGCACGAACTTAACCTGTTAGTGCTCAAAATGGTAGGTCCTCCTCCCTCTGGCTCCAGAACTTGCAGGCCTGAAGCTGGTGTGTAGAACCACTGAGGGTCTGGCTCTCCCAACAAGAGTGGAGCAAGGAGCTGTGCTTTTGAGCACTTGCTTTGTGGGAGACAGAAAAAGCAGAGGGACCACACTGGGGGGATGACACAGAAGAGAAAGGGCCCCATTAGGAGAATAAAACCAAAACCAGCTTGTCCTCCGTTCTGTGAGGTTCCTAGTGGGAAGAAAAGCTAGAAATATGTCAGGGATTGCTATTCCTTCAGAAAGTGAAGCATTCATAACTGCACAGCATTCATAAGTGTGATGGAACTCTTTGGGACTTGCAGCCTCCTGCCTTGGGTGAATCCTGACCAGCTGCAGAGTCAGGGGCACACACCAGTGGTTTCACATGTCACATGGAGGGGAGTTATAGCCTGTAAATGGAGGGAACACCTCTCCTAGGAACAGTGGCTCAATGCTGGATTGCTTTTGTGGGTTTTTGACAGTGTGTCTCACCAGTACTTTCTTTCTTGTCTTTCAGAAGAAACTGCAGTGATGAGCTACAGTGTTCCATGCAAGTGAGGTGAGGGCCCAACACCTCTTTTGTTATCACAGGCACGGTCCTGAAGAATATGGAAGGGGAGGGAGATGCAGGCAAAGGCCCTTGCTCAAGGAACTTGCCAGACTGCAGGTCCAGGGTAGAAAGCAATTTGCAATGCCAAGTAAGGGTGAGTTCCTGTACCCCAGTGGTTAAACTGAGGGAAGAGAACTGAAGTAGATGATTTGATGTGACAAGATCATGACAAAGCTGGAGATATGTTCAAGAAAACAAGGACTGCATGTACCAAGTACTGTCACCAGTCCTGGCCCTTTGCATCAAATACACTTTATTCAAGCCACCACAGTTCCCTTTCTGGCACTTTCCCTGTAGTTTCACATCCCTTCAGCTCTGTGCACACAGTGTGCCATGCTAATCTTTACTGCAGGGCCAGGCCAGGTTTCAGTGCCAAGCCTTTCTCCATCTCAGCCTGGCTTCTGATCCACACTAGGGAATGGACACTTGCCCATCCTCTTTCCAGGCTGAGCAAAGACAAAGCTTAAGCTTGACCAATGCCTGCCCCTACTCTAAACTTTCACTTGCACCTGTGTGCTTTCCTGCCCACAGCCCACAAGACAGGGAAAACCACCTGCTGCATGAATCACCTGTAGGGAGGCACACAGCCCTGTCCTGGGATGTCTGCCACAGGCTCTACACCCTACCCAGAGATTGTGACATAAGCTTTGTATAGATAAAGTGAGAGAGAATCTTAGGTCATAAAACATTCTGAGGTGGAAGGGACCCACAAGGATCACCCAGCTCCTGTCCGTGCACAGGACAGCCCCAAGAGTCACACCATGAGCCTCACAGCGTTGTCCAAATGCTTCTTGAACTCCATCAGTTTTGGTGCTGTGACTGCTTCCCAGGGAAACCCATTCCAGTGCCCAAACACCCTCTGGGTGATAAGAGCTCTGTCCTTATTGGCCTGACAGTGCCGTTCAGTCACAAGGTACAAAAAAGGCCCCTAAGTTCCCAGTGGTTAGTTTTAATACTTCATGAACTCTTTTTTTTTTTTTTTTTTGCCCTCTATTGTCTTCACAGGAACAAGGATAGATCCCTCCTCTGCAGACTCTCCCATCAGTCCTTTGCCACCCCTGCCAACTGTCACCTCATGGAGATACGAAGAAAAGAGAAAATGCTTGGAATTTCCTGCTGAGCAGTTAGTTCCTGGAAGGCTCAGACTGTGTGTGGCATCTTATTAAAAGTAGAAGACTAGAATTATCTGATTGAATGATTATTCAGGTTTACTGTTTTTCTCCCAAGCCAGGAAAATTGCATTTAAGAGCAGCTGGGAAAAATAAATTCTCTACCTCTGCTCATGTACAAAACTCTGCCCCTCCAGGTGCAGACCTGCACGGGAGGAGATAGAGCATTAAAATAACCTGATCCATAGACCTAGAAACAGATACTTCATGTTTCTAGCTGGGTACATATTCCCCACTGCTTACCATTCCCCTTCCCATCTTTGCTTATATTCCATGTTTCCTGCCCAAGACCCACCATTTCCTGATGCCATTGTTGATGGTACATGGGAACTTGCTGCCTACCTCAACTACAGACAGCCCTGTATTCAGCCAAGGCTCGCTCCTCTGCGGAAAGAAATGAGGAAGGTGATTACACATGGATGCACACAGAGAAGGCTGCATGTCTCTTTCCAGCCAGAGAATCAGGAACCCACCTCCCCACCCCCAAATAACAGGAAATCAGCAACCCACCTGGCTGGTAGTAATCATAGATTTTGATGCTGGCTGGTTTCAGGTTCTTCACCTGAATTACTTGTTCCAGTTGCAGAGTGAAAGTCTGAGATTCATCATTGAGCTAGTGGAGATGGAAGGAAATTAGCAACGAATGGGGAGAAAGAAATCACAGCATCTTCATCTTCCCTGATTTGAAGGTTTTCCTGCACTGCATTTCTCCAATCCATTAGAGATTCTAGACTTTAAAATGGAGTGTTGTGTGAGGGATAGCACACAATATTGTGCTAGGAATTTTCACAATATTGTGTAGGAATATTCTAATCCCATGACAATGAAATTGGGCCAACTTCCTCTGTCCCCAATTCTACCAGTGCTCTTTTCTTACCTAGACCAGCCTCAGGCTTCTCACACAGCTCCTTGTTCTCTGACCTTTTGCTCTCACCAAATGCTTTTGGTCTCACTTACCTTCTCCAGATAAATGTAGACCACATTAGCTTTCACTTCTATTTTCTTAACAATGGTTCTGTTCTCCAGCTAGGATAGGAAACAACAACGGAATGAAATTTGTGAGCATTTTCCTTAGGGATTCCCGACCTGAGGGAGCCAGTGTTTTATGGAGGGAAGGTATAGAGCTGGACTCTATGTGGAACTGTGCATTTTTCAGTGGTTATGTCTTTGCTAGTCTGTCTTGGACATCCCTTGTGAGCATCTCATGTGTGAACCCCACTGACCCTGCCCAGGGCCGAGAAATCTCCCCCTCTGAAGACCAAAGGCTGTGTGGGTAGTACATATGACTGATATGCTGGTGAGCAGATGGGTGCAGGCACCAGTAGAGGTCCTTATTTCATCTCACTGAGTGTTCAACTGCTTTTAAAGACCTGCATGAGGGCTGTGATTTAATTTTTGATTTAATTGGAAAAAAAAATAATCTTTTTAGCTAGAGCTAGAGTATCTCTGAGAAATCCTGTCTTAGACTTTCTGACAAACAGATCCTGGTGTCAGCACACCCAGCAGTACACTTTGTTTCTGGCCCAAGTCCAAATACTGCCAGTGGGAGAAGCTGAACCACCTCTGATCTCCCTTGTGGGGGCTGTAGGAAAACAAGAAGTTTTGGTGCAATTGCAACAGCAAAGGTTGCAATTGCACCAAAATTAGCTACAAATTTAGCTACTGCCTGGCCCGAAACGAACAATTCTCAACAGGAGTAAGCAGGCAGGATCCATTTACCACAACTGGGTTTTCTTATTGCAAAGTTCTTACCAACATTCTGGATCTGGAAGTCACGATGAATCCAGATAGCAGGGAGACCTCTATGATCACCATGTTGGATGTGACTCTGCTCCCAATGTAGCTGGAGAAGAAAAAGCAGACAGAGGGTCTGACTCTGTGAGGACAGTGCCCTCCCAGACCCTCTTCCCTCCAGCACCATGCCCTGAGCCAGATGTCCCATCTGGGACTGGGACATGGCAGCATGACTGCTCCCTCTCTCAGGAGTTAGCCAGCACCTTCCCCTCCAAGCCTTCCAGCTGTCCAATTCTCCCTCCGTCCTGTTCACCCCAAGGGCCGGGTCTCTCCATCAGAGCCCTGAGACCCTCCTGGCTGAAGTCCCCAAGCTCACTTCATCTTGCTGGAGCAGGAAGCAGCCCTTGGAGTCACCTGGTGAGGATGCGGACGGTGAGGAGGCGCGAGTTCGCCTGGCTGCAGTTGTTCAGCTCCGTGCTGACACGCAGCGTGAAGGTCACGGGAGTCCGTGGGGAAAGCTCGTGGTACCTCAGCACTGTCTGCACGATAAGTGCCAGAAGCAGAAAACACAGGCCAGGCATGATCTCATGCAGGAGAAAAGCGGCAGAGTCCTCCCTTCCCCACGCTCATCCCACCTGCTCACCTGAGCCAAGACGCAGCCGCTGCCGTGGGCCTGCAGCAGGAGCTGCCCCGGGATCTCCACCAGGGCCGCCTGCTGCACCAGCAGCCGCCTCTGCCGGCTCACCGGGAACGCCTTCCCAAAGGCCCTCTGGGAGCGCACCCTCAGCACGGCCTGCCCCGAGGTGCTGAACGCCCTCGCTGCGTACTTCGCTAAGGCTTGCAAGGCAACAGCCGTGTCCTGCAGAGGGAGAAACAGGCTCCTCTGAAAGCACCAGCCGTAATGGCACCGGCTTGGAACAGGAATTCCTCGAGAGGACTTGCGCTGCCAGGCTAGGCTATAAAAGGCTCCACAGGAGCTGCTGTTACCTGGGTGGAGGCAAAGCCACCGTGGGCATTTTGCTGCCGTGTCAGCCAGGCCACAATGGCAGCTGCAGTTGTCATGTCACCGGCGTGCACCCGGGCCTTGGACAGGTACGCCAGGAGCACATAGGCTGTGAGCTCTATGTCCACTGACTGCGTGCCAGGCCAGAAGTCTGTGGAGGCTGGAGAGCTTGGCTTGGGGCTCCAGTGGATTTGTCCTCCTGCAGAAGGAAAAGGATTATGAAAGCTATTGAGGGAGGGCATAATTTGGGTTTCAGAGGAAACAAACCCCACAGTGCTTTCAGGGCTCCTTCAGTACATTCCCTATACTCAGGCCAGGATTGCTTTCTTGAATTTATTCTCTAAGGCTTCACCTCATTTTAGCTGACAGACTTCTACCTCCTCCCTCAAAGGGATCTTGAAATCCTCCAGTCTGAGGAAACTATTTCTAAGTCATTCTCACAGTTTGTGAAATACCTTATTGCTTATTGTATTTTCAGTAACACAATGCAGTTACTGCACAAATACAAGGAGTATCTATAAATACATGTATAATTTTCAACTGCTGTAGCTGGACACACATTGGTCCAGAATCCCAGCAGGCAGCACCTGATTTGATGGCCTGTTCCTCCAGTTTGTACAGCAGCTCTTGGGTTGTCTCATAGTCCCCAGCCAGGGCAAAAGCATAGGCCACCAAGGCTTCTGTGTAGATGTTGGTGATGTTGTGAACCACCTTCTGCAGGCAGCGGAGAGTAGTCTGCATCAGCTTGGCCTGTGTTGGAAGGAGACAACGTGTCAAACTGTGACAGGGGTGAAATAGGGGGCTAGGAGCCACACTATGTCTTCCCAACATAGCTCCAAAGAAAACAAATAATTTACAGACTGTTTCAGAAAACAGGCAGTGCAGCCCTGATGTGCACTGGGAGCTATTCCCACCAAGCACTATACTGCATCAGGCCAGTTTCACAACACTCGCTGGCTCTTTTGAGGAATGACTTCACCATTTGACCAAACCTTGACTCATTCCCAGAAGCTCCCTCCCAGTTCATGGCCTGGAGAAGACCAGAATCACCAGCTGGCACACCCCCATGGTGGTGTCCAGGAGAGCAGGAGGGAGCAGGAGGGAGCTGAGCGTGCTCACCTGCAGGGGCAGACCCATCTCCAGCAGTGCTGCAGCGACATAGGCCCCCAAAGAGACTTCATCATCCATGCTGCCCTGTGAGGGGAACACATATTTCACTCTTACAGGCTGTTAGGAAGGCCCACTCCTCAGAAGGAAAAGCATTCCTCTCATGTTTTCCCTCTCTTTAGGTCTTGCACAGGTTGCAGAATGACTTTCTAGGATCCTTTGGGATCCCACAATCTTCTGCTGTCAAAAATCTCTCCAGGCATTCGCCAGCCGTGCTACCTACCCTGGCCCACCATTACCTTTAGGGAGGAGTGGAAAAAGTTCCCTTTGGTGGCAAAGCAGCCACTGGGGAGCTGGTTTTGCTCTAGCCAGCGCAGGGCATCCTGGATGCTCTTGTCATCTACGTAGATGTATTTTCTGGCTTGGCCAAAATTCTTGAGTACAAAAGCTGTCAACCTAGGAAGAGGATGAGTTGTGAGAAAAAGAGGCAAACAAACAAAGAAAAAAAGCAAAGAGAAAGTCAGAGGTCTCCTGGCACTTGCCTCTGAACTAGTGACATAGTGGGGGTGCAAAAAAAGAGTAATTTTCAAAAAGAAAGTCAATCTAAAAGTGGAAATGGTCCACAGGACTCACCCCAATGGCTCCTCTCCCTGCTTCTGTCTCCACAGATATATTACTTGCATACTACTTAGTACTTTACCCAGTAATTTCACCCTCGCACTCCTTCTACTTTTACCTGTTCCACTTCATGTCCTCCAGTGCGACAATCTGGAATTCTCCCTTTTCTTCCTCCCTTCCTTTCTCCATTCATCTTAACCAAGCACAATAGGTGTATGTTGTGCCAAGGCAGCTCCCCTCCACTCACTGAGGAGAGGATTTTTTTATAGATCTCACCTGATTTTTTTCCAGACGTGTACCCCTCTTGGCTGCCAGGTCACCAGTAGCATGACCTGATGTTGTCTGTGGGCCAACAGTAGGGACATAGAGACAACAAAAAAGACCTTTCATTCCCTGGGACCATATCTTTGCTGTTCTACTTTCCCAAAAACTCTGCTGCCCTGCCTGACTGCTTTTTCTAGTGGCTCAAGTGCCGCAGACTGTCCCTGTCAGAGAGTTCCTTCTGTCTCCATCCCAGAGAAGGAATATCTTGTCAACTTCCTCAGATCCATGAGGTGCTTTAACCCAGACAGGAAATATCAGAAGTGAGGGATGTTTGCAGTGCTTACCAAGTGTTTCCTTCTCCATCCTTCTGCCCAAAGAAGCTGTAGGAGCCATCCCTGTGCTTGTACAGAAGTTGTCTCTGATACCCTGGGAGATGGAAACAGTGATTAATGTGGCACAGTAACACAGAGGGGACAGTGCTGACAGAATGGGTGAAGGGTAAGAGTTCCTGGTGTGCTGGACACAGGGAAGGCAGAGGGACAGGGTGGCTCTGTGGCACTCACCATTGCGCAGGAATCCTGCTGCCCTGGCCTTGATCTCAGGGCTCAGCTGCCTCGTCTTCTCCAGGTACTGCAGCACATAGACAACGGGGGCAAACAGCACCATGTTCTGCTCCCCACAGCCGTGGGGCAGCTGCACCAGGTGGTCCAGGTTCTGCAGTGCCAACCCCATGAAGTCACCTATCCAAGGGTGCAAAAAACAAAGAAAGTGTAAATATTATTTGAGGTGCCTTTTCAGCCAGGCAAGGGGTAACAGTGCATTATCTCAGCAGGGGGAAAGCACCGGAGAAAGGAGGAAAGAGAAGTAAACAACTGAGTGCAAGATGGAAAGTGGTGACTGTTTTGCCTCCTTCCAGCTTGGCATCATGACAACTCTATGGAGTCCCTGAAGATGAGTTCCCCTTATCAGCTTTTGCATTCTGAAGAGCTCCAGCTATAACAAATGCTGTTTGTAAAGGGCTGTCAGCAAGCTGCACCTGCTCATATAGACAAGCAAAAATGCTTGTCATATAGACAAGCAAATGTAACAGCACTCAGGGAAAGGCTGAAATGCCAGGTCTTTAGCCAGGCCTGTTCTACCCGACCATATGTCAAGCATGAAAATGAAGTGAAGAAGCCAGCAGGGGTGCTAGTCAGATGGTGTGAGGGTGTCCATACATCCTCCAGCCAGTCAGAAAAGCCTTGTGTTTTCCTCTGTTGGGGTTCTGTTGCACAGTATTCATGGCTACTTATGCCAGGCCTGGCTTCATACCAGTCTGGCCAGCAAAACAAATAGATGTATTTAATGGTAGGTATGGCCAGTCCCAGTACCCTCTCCAAAGTGCTCATTTGCAGCTTTATAATGCTAAGAAAGATTTCTTCTCTCCAGGAGCTTCTGCTGTAGCATGGTTTTGAGCTTTACCGTTTGTATCTACACAGAAATAGCCAAGGTCCAAAGTCTCTGCTCCAAGATCCTAGCTAGAAAAAGAAGGATTATTCTCCTGTGCAGATTACTCTTCCATTAAAGCCAAAAATCTGAAAGCTTGGTGTTTACAGGGAATAGAAACACAGCATCCTCTCTTTTGGGCAGTTTCATGTCAAGTGGATCCTCTGACACCAACTTAAGCTTTGCCCTGACACAGACAAGCAGTCTGTGAGCCCACAGTAGAAGTCACTCACCTGTGATGGAAATGGAAGCCCTGGCAGAAGCCTTGACTACATTGTCAGGGAGGCGAAGGGACACGGGTTCTTCAGCCACGTTTCCTGATAACAGCAGGATGAAAGGTGTAGCATGAGAAACCAAGCCAAAAGCCCCTAACTGGAGAGACAAGACTGGCCCAGCTAAGTGGGACACTGCCTACATCCTGCTCACACTGATTGTCCTGGTCTTTGCACCGAGTGCATTGCCTGGGATCTTTTCAGATTAGGCCATACATGAGAGCTGCTGGTGGGGCCAAGGGCCCACCAAGCTTCACTTCAGCTCAATTCACTGCACTTCAGGAGGCTCACATGAATCACAGCTGGACATCACTCAAGGGAGGACATCCTGGCAAGATGCACAGTGCTGCAGGGCTGGGGTGGGAAGGTTGGAGCACCTCTCACTGGTGTTCCTCAAGCCCCAGGAACATCTCAGAGTCGCACTGTGGGAAGGAGACTACAGAGCAGGATTTTGCCACTTATACTCAGCAGCAAATACATGTAGGACAGCGCATGTGGGAGTAATATTTCTTATTCATTCGTGGCTGATAGGAAGTGAAATTTCCTATGTGAAAAATAATTTCAAAACATTCTGTCATGAGCCCTCCCACAGTTTAGTTCTACTTTCGGGTGTACTTATTTCAGGCTGCAGAAGCCAATTGAGGCTGTGCACATACCTCATCTCAGGCACATACCTCCTCTTGGGCACAGAAGGGAGCTGTAGGACTTCTCCACTAACACACCCTCTGGCTGCCAGGGCAGAAACATGCACGTGGGACAGGAGAAACAAAAATACACATAAAATTCCCAAATGACACCAACATTTCAGAGAAAGTTCAAGTCTGAATTCAGAGGTCAGGGACTCCACCCTCCTCCTTTTTGGCAGGTCTGCCTGCTTCACTGCTCAAAGGATCAAGAGTTTGCCCGAGGAACAGGGCTCTCTGGCCAGTGAGCACATACAAAAGCTCAGGTACAGCATAAAAGCAGGGAAAGGTACAGGGAGAACACAGACATGGGAATGCAGCTCAAGAAAGAGCCCTGCAAGAACAGGCTTGGCTAGGTCCTAGGAGAAATAAAGTGACCTAAGACACAGCTTTGGTATACTATTGCTGGCCAAAATCTGAGGTGATGAAACTATTTAGCCCACCTCAGGCTGCCTTCCCCCTTGGGCAGGGATATGATAGATAGAAATGAGGCTGTTCTTGTACTGACCTGGACCAGCAAGTGTTTGGTCAGTGTGTGCCTCCCCCTCACAGCAGCTGGCAAGGGCTTCCTGCCCCCACACCGTGATGTGGGGTCCAGCACCTCTGTCCTCACTGAGATGTTCAGAGTCCCTAGCAAATAAATTCAACAGAGTCCTTTTCTTATACCTGCGGCCAAATGGAGTAAACTTTCTTTAACCCATAGTGACCTGAAATGCTTTGGGTTGTTGGTCTTCATGGCCTCGGTGGTTTGGCCAGTAAAGGTGAGCCAGCCAGTGCTGACAGCTTGTTTAGACACCCTGAGCATGAGGAAACTCAGTAACATCTCCCCAGCAGTGACTTCACTGCACTGCAATATGATTTGAACAACAGAGGGTCCAGCAGCCCTCAGAGCCCAGCATGCCCTTCCCATTGCATAGGAAGCACAGGACCAGCAATACAAAATTCCCCCACCCATATCCACACAGCTTCCTCCTCCCCAGCTGGCCCCACAGCCCTCTCTTCAGGAGTTTCTGCTCTCTCTGGTGAGTCTGTCTAAGAAGAGAGAAAGAAGGCAAACATGATGGATTGCATGTTTGCACCATTAAGGACAGACTTCAGGATTCAGAGGAGACTGGCTCTGCCAACTTCTCTGGACCTCCCAAACTCTTTCACTTCAGTTTTAGGGTTCCCCATCACCAGTCCCTTTTTGCTGCCATACCCAGTTGGACTGCTGTCACATTCCACATGAAGGTCTTGGACTCCTCTGCACACAGACACTCCTTGTCCCTGCAAGTCAGACATGGCTCCACCTGGAAGTCTGAGGATTTAGCCAGGGCCACCTGGATCTGCAGGAATGACAGATGCAGGTGAGTGAGGGCAGCTTAGGTGAGATGGCTTGGCACCATGAGCTCTGAAACTGGAGGCCAGAGTAGGCCTGTCCCACACAGTGACAGACCTGCATGCACTGCTGCAGGTAGCTGAAGACAGTGGCTTTCATCAGGAAGGTCTCTCCACGGATGATGGAATATGGCAGTGTCACGTCCACAAAGAAGGGCTGAACTGTTCTGAGGCTCATGGTTGGGGCAAGGCCAAACCCCCTCCCAGCCAAGCAGAACATCTTGACTTTCCACTGTACAGCAGCAGCAGGTGCTGTGACTGAGACATTGCTGCTGCCATTGGAGCTGGGAGGAAGAGAGAACTTGCCTGAAGAGAGTCATCTGCTATGGGAGAGGGAAGGAGGTGCAATGAGGAGTGCTCATGGCCCTGCTAAGGGAGGTGACACAGGTCCTCATGCTTGGATCAACTTCTGCTGTATTGCCAATAACTTTTGCTCCAGTGGCTCACAGCAAGGCAGTTCTCAGCAATTTTTTTCCCCAGAGCCATAAACCCTCTTTAAATGCCATCAGTAAAGGCTTTATGTCCTTCTTCTGAGCAAGACACTGCCCAAGCATTCCAGCTCCATACATTCATGGTGGTTTGGTGTGGAAGTGTACTCCTATTCCTTAAATCTGTATACACTTCAGTTCTGCACGTCAAAGTCTACTAGTTTGACACTCTACAAATGCAGGGAAGAGCCCCATAATTTGCATGCAGAGGTCTCTTTGCACCTCTTTTACACAAATTTAAGGCAGCCAAGTCTCTACAGCAAAGGGTCATTCTTCTGTCCCTTTGTAAAGTCAGAAATCATTTACCCAACAGAGTACAGATTCCAGATCCAAGTTTCAGGGAAATAGTGGTGAGATCTTCTGTGAGTTGTAAATTGGGGTTGTTCCTCATTGATTCTTTGGTCTTCTGTAGAAGGCACCCCTGAAGGAAAGAGTAAGGAATCCCACCAGAGTGGGAGAGGTGAATCCTGCCAACCATAGACAGTCTTGCAGTGGGGCTGGAGGCAAAGCAAGCAGTAAGAGAGACATGGGAGAGTCTGACAGAGGAAAGCACAAGGAACTGGACTGACTTCATGGGAGAGATTAGAAATTAAGGATATGAGTGATAGCAGGAGAAACAACTTGTAGTGAGCTGATTGCAGGGTTTCCAAGATTTGGTTAGACAAAGTCCTTTCCTGAGCTGACCCAGAGGTTTTGCTTAAGAGACTGAGAACCTCCAGAGAGCCATTTTAACCAACACTTCTATAATTATGTGAGTACTAGAACTGTTTGCTTGCTGCACAAAGCTCACATTCCACAGCAAGCAATGGTTTAAATAGAGGCAGGCACACGAGCCAGCTTAGTACAGTTATCGAGTGCAAACTGAGACACAGAAGAAGAACATGAGGCTGTCTCTGTGGCTACAGATGGGGACAGAAGCTGGGTCTTAGTACAGCCTGAGGAATGGGAATAGACACTGGGAAACAGATCCTGGGCCCTGCTTGGGTTTGTCTGTGAGGAAAGGGAGTGTCATCCTTTAGTGTCGGGGAACATCCAGGTAGTGATGTTCTTCAGAGCCCTTTTTTATGGGGACTGGGTCACTTCTACTAAGTCTGGTGGACTGGTGGACTGTGGCAGCAGCACCCAGTACTCTTAAGAGAGACAATATCCACCACCAACAAACCCCAAAGATCTCATGTGCCAGGTAGGCTCAAAGTTCAGCTCACCTATGATTGGCTTCCTATCCATCCGACGGGAGCATTGAGAGGGCTTCTTGATTACAAGGTTTGAGAAGACTTTCAGTCCCATGTTCTATTAGGAAAAGAAGAAGGGCAGGGGAGGCAAAAAAGCATCTGTGAGTGGGGAAGACTGACTGCTGCTCTTCAAATTACTCTGGAAAAACAGAGACAATGCAGTGCCCAGGCAGCCCAGAGCAGCACTGGCCCAAGCAGACAGTGCTGAGGGAAGCATGAAGGAGATCTGCTCTTAAGACACCAAGAGGTCTGCCTGGGACCTGCCCAGAATAGTGGCAAAAAGCAGCTAACAACTAAGCCATGGCAACAACCCATGGTCTAATGCTTGGGATTGCTCCCTGTCTCTCTTTTCTCTAACACTGTTGACTAACAGTACACAGCCAAGAAACTCATTCCGCATTCCTCATTCCCATTCAAGTTAAAAAAAAGGAGTTTGATGATCCAGGATTTCATCACCTTGCTTTGTGCACATGTGGAGGGAAATACGGATATTCCTACTCAATGGGGTTGTACACCTTTTGAGACAACACAGTTCAGTCAGGGCAGACAGCAGGGTCAGTCTAGAGGAGGAAAAGCCCTCTCAGACTGCTTGGGGAGAAAATATCTCTGATGTTCATAATTACAACAGCTCTGGAAAACATCAGGAGGTGATTACCCGGAAGAGGTTGAAGATGTCAGGCTGAAAGGAATGTTGTGGCCTTCCTTGTAGCAGAGACGACAAGGACTGAGGCTGCGCACAGCGATCTGAATGCTCTTCTACTTGGGCAGGGTATCCACGTTGGTAGGCAGCAGGGAACAAACCATAGACCTAGGCAAACTCACAGGCAGGGAAGGATTGGGCAAGGAGCAGATACCTCCAGATGCTTCACTCCATCCTCCCCTAGCATGCACATCAGTTCCTGTCCTTCTTCCCAGGCAAGCCCTGATTTCTCCTTCACACACAGACCTCCTCATTCATTGGCCCCCAGCTCCCCTTGCCACAGCCCCTGCATGCCTCGCCCAGCTCATCCATCACTCCTGAGGTTTTGCCTGGTTGCACTGACACTCACCATTTGGCTGGTCAGCTCATGGTCTGGTCTGGTGGAGAACATGTTTTCATCCACTACCTGGACTGCACACAGGGAGCCAGGTGCTGCCTGCAGCTGGAGCTGCACTGCTGACCCTGCCTGGGCTTCTTTACCTGGGAATCCTACCTTGACCTGGAACAACACACCAGGAAAGGAATATGAAAAAGAAAGAGATGTGAGGAAGATGACAGACAGATGGCACAGGCAGAAAGAAGAAGACTGGCATCTCCCCTGCTCAGCCACTGCTATCAGAAGTCACTGCTGAAGCTTTCCTGGTCTCTGGGCACTGTGCTGCAGATACCCCTTCCATCTCTTCTGCCCAGTTCTCTCTTGGAAGGATCTGAGGGTCTCCTTCCCTCAAGCCTCCTGACTCCTGCTCATCAGCTCTCCTGCAGCCACAGAGGTGAGTCTCACCTGGTTTTGGAAGCACAAGGCAACATCCAAGCGGATGCTGTCAGCTGTGACCCCTCCGTTGGGGAAGATGGCGTACACCACTAAGGAAGGTGCCGGGGACAAGTCGGCAGTGAAGGTCAAAGGGATGGAGAACGAGCCCTTCAACACTGAAGAAGGAAAGGCAGATTTTCACCATAGGCCCACCAAGACCTCCTTCTTCCCTTCTTTTTGTGCCATAGAATCTCAAAATGTCAAACCAATTCGTGCTGCTGCACTGTCTGCCCTCTCCCTCCATTCTCTGACCCTATGTATTCCATCTTCCCCTACATCCTCCCAGTCTCTCTTCCCATCATTGTTTCATTCTGTCTTTTTACTCTCTTTCACATTTGACACAATTGCTTCTTCAGCCTCCCTCTGTCCTGTTTGCTGACTTCTCCAGACCTATAGATTGAGGGAATCTGGGAGAAACTCTGGCAATTCTCATGTCCAACCTAGAAACCAACGAGGTGCAACCATTTCCACTTCCCTGCCATGACTTACTGTTCAATTTCCCCATCTGGATATTCCTCTGGCCCCTGACAACAATTCCAGACTTGCCAGTGACCTGCAGGAAGAGGGACATGGGATGAGCAGACTGCTGTTTGCCACCAGAGTGCATCCACACTTACCTACATGCCTCTGGTTCTCAAAAGTGAAATAAAGCCCCAGAATTAACTGTGGGTACAATCCACAGACTTGAGGAGATTTGCAGACATCACAGGTGGGAGGACAGGCTTTAACACAGGAGTCTCTGGTCTAGTCTGTTCAGTGAGGACAATGTATGGGTAGCGGGCTCACTGCAGATTGGTGAGTGATAACTAAAGTGCTTCTCCTCTGGTAGGCTGGCCTCTAGGACAGACCAAAATCCACTGAGCAGCTATTTGATAGCCAGAGTGGTAAAGGAATACCCCACCTGTTTTAAAGGGAGAATAATTTTCCAGTTGCAGCCTTGGCAGAGGCTAAGGGGGTGATGGGTTACAAAGACAGAAACCTCCTCCTATTCATGGAGGTGACTGGAACCCCAGCACCAGGATAACAGTGTGGCCAGGCTGAGCCCTACCAGATGTAGCATTCACCCAGTCCCCTGAGAATAAGGTTTAGCTGTCATCCCTCCAGGGATGACCTAAATTATATCCTCAGCTTTCCACTGAGGTCTGGTCCTGTCAGTGCAGCCTTTCCCCCCAGGTAGTCTACTACCCTTACTCACATAATATGCAAAACTTATACGGCTGGTGTCTTCTCCCAGGTCATCCCTGCTGAGTGTGAAGGTCACCTGGACATTGTGCTTCAGCCCACAGAGCAGTGTTTCCGTGGGTGGGTGTATGTCCAGGAAGCTCTTGGTTGTGACATGAAAGGGCTGCAGGTGATGGTAAGCGTTCGTGTAAGGGAAGTCAGGCCTTCGAGGAGTGCGCATGAGCTCCTCCAGTGTGAACCTCCCCTGGAAGGGCACAGAGACACACAGAAATGAGGAGTTTATGCTTCAGTGCTTCGTTAGGCTGCCATCAGCTTGGTTTGGAAAGGCTGTTGGCTTGGTGCCTTCCAGCTGGCTCTGTGCAGAGCTGCATGGTGAGCCCAGGCCTGAGCTGGCAGCGCGGCTGCAGGGAAGGAGGGGGGAGCACAGGGAGAGCTCAAGGACTCTCACTGTCCCATATGCAGAGGTGGTGTTTACCTCCAGAGAGACTGATGAGCTGTTCCAGGCAGTAGTGTCGAGGTTGAACGATGCTATTCCACTGTCATCTGTGATGTACGTTTTGATAAATCGACGCCTCATCAACCTTATCACAAGATAAACTTTCCTGTTCTTCATACCAGTTCCATAGTGATCCTGAACCTTAATCTGGCGACAACAGGGTGAGGCAGGAAAGCCAAAGTCAGATATTTCTTCCAAAGTCATACCCAAAACCTTCCTATCTCTGACAAGCATAGACCTTCCTGTGTAGGTCACCTACAGACTTCGGTCTGGCCCCAGCAAGACAGGAGAATTGCACAACTCCCTCATCTCTGATGTGAAGCTGAGCATGGTTCAAATCTGTTTGCTCCAAAAGGTGTGTGTGGCTAGAACATGAGGAGTTTGTCTCCTAGCCTACAGCTGAGACATCCTTGCATCCCAGCATCCCTGCTGAGACACCGCTCATTGCTCTCAGCAGACCCTGGAGGTGCAAACACAAGAGGGAACCTGAAATGCAGCAGCTGTAGCTACACTGTGAAGCAATGAGACACAGTGCAAAGTAAAGTACTCTGTCTGAGGAGCAGGAAATGCTTTGGGCCAGTTAGATTTACCACATGCCATATTCCTTGGCAAATGAGAAGGAGCAAAAAAAGCAAGGGAAGAAAATCACCTTCCCCCTGTATGGTACTCCAGGGATGTAATATTCATTGGGTGTCTCAAATACTGCCCTTGCAGCTGTTCTGGAGATGAGGATTTGCCTGGAGGTGTTGATCTGCACCCCTGTTGAAATGCAGAGTGCAAGGGAAGAAGAATCAGTACCAGAGGTGACTACTGCACTGTAGTTTATTCTCACTTTGTTATTCCCAACCCCTCTTAGCAGTGTATGTAACTTCCTCCCCAAAACCAGCATTCTTCAAGGTTTGGAGGCTGCTCCTGTGGCAGCTCCTTCTTTAGTTATGCTGCCTGCAAGCCTCTTTGTAGCCTCATGGACCCACACCACTCATCCAGCTCCCAGCCACTCCTCATCCTCCTGCTGCTGGCAGAGTAGCTCTCCATGTCCCATGATGATCCCAGCAGCAGGGAGGAGGAGAGGGGGATGTGTGCCCTCTCTAATCCTCAAGCCCCCAGAATGGGTCCTCTTGCCCCTGAACTTTCCCTGCTGAGCCCCTGCATACCTGTGCCCATCTCCAGGAGAGAGGCTTCTGCATAAAGTTTGTTGTCTTCCTTGCTGGGAGTCAGATTGAAGATGGATGTGCTGACAGAAGGGGTGAAACACCCATTGCTTGCTGTCTGCAATAGGGAGTGACAGGTATTATTTGGGGCTGGGGAGAAGGGTAGGGGCCAGAAGTAAAAGGGATTAGTCATTCTGTCATAACCATCAACTACAACAAATAATAATGCAGAACTCGTGAAACACTGGAACACGTTCCCCAGGGAGGTGGTGGATGCTTCATTCCCAGAAACATTCAAGGTCAGACTGGAGCAGTTCAGCTCATTCAAGGTCAGACTGCTTTAAGCAGTTCATTCTGTTCACTCAGCCCTTGGCACTGCATCCTCTGTGGTGCTTCTTTAGTGCCCATATGCCTCCAGGGTTTTACTCACGGCACTGCGGTATTCCCTGCAGATGTCCTTGCTGGCACTCTGGGGCCACCTCCTCGCTTTCTGGCACAGAGCCACGTGCACGGTCCCTCGCACTGCTTTCCCAAAACTGTACCTGCAGGGAGAAGTCCACAGGAGCTTCTGGGCAGAGGCACTGCCTGCTCTGTCCAGCACAGCACTCCACACAGGTGCCTTTGGTGATGAAGGTCTTACTGCAGCTGGCAAGCAGGCAGGCACAAATTAAAATAAAGCACTTTGAGTACTTTGGGAGTGCAATAGTGTGGTCTGGCATCCAACAGATACAGGAGCAAAGGAATAGATGCAGAAACAGGCAGGAGCAGACCCACAGCCTCTGGAGCTCTCCCACTTCTGGGCACTTGCTGTCCTGGAATTGCAGGCAGACACAGAGAGTGGACCTGATTTATCCACTCAGCGAAGATATTAGTTTGGGGGGGAAAGCAGCAGAAATGGGTGTCCCTGCAGACAGCAAACTGCAGTAACAGAGCCACAGAGTGACCTCAGACTTGCCTCACTATGGGCTTATCTCATGATCAGGGCTCTTGTTTCCATTGTCAGACCTGCCCTGCTGATTTAGACTTCTAGATATTTCCTCTGCCTGCTTTGCTGCCTTTTCTTGCTTTGACTCCTCTCTGACTTGCCCTTTGGAGCAATGCTCCCGACAGTATCAGTAAAAAGATGATATCTGTGACCCATCCTGGTGGTGTAGAGTGGTGTGCACTATTTACTACTACAGCCTCATATGACCTGATTGTAACTGTCCCAATTAATGAGAAATTATGTCAGACCAATCAGTGGCAAAAGAGACACCAAAAGTCTCCAGACAATGCAGCCCCAAATACAAATGAGCTCACCAGATTTTGAGTGCTTTTGAGCTCATTGTCCTCCCTTCTTTGTGTTTATACTTGGTGTCAGAGGTTCTGCCCTCCTTCCCACCCTCATCTGCTCCCTTTTTGCTGATAACCACATAACTAGAGAAATTTATCTATTGCTTCTAAGCTAATAAGTTCAGTAGCATGTAAGTGAGAAGGAAAGGCTCCTAAAGAAATGCCAGCTCCTGCTCCTTTACCTCCACGACTGTCCCTTATCTGGTGTTTTTCCCACATGAGATCTTTCAATGCTGGACAGACACATCTTCCAGAGGAGGGTATCTGTGGCCTAGGGCAAGTCTCCCTATAGCTGGATGTTCTCTCTCATGTGTGGCTCAGGTACCTCTTCCCCAAGGAAGAACCCATTAGCTTAACTCTTGAACTATTTGGGATTCTTCTAAAGGAATGGCTCTGTTTGACCCTTCTTGAGCCGTCTCTCTTTGATGGACTGAAGAGACAGGAGACATATGGAAGGAGAGACAAAGTTTTGATGGAATCTTTCCCCTGAACATTCTCCTTACCTGCCACACACTTGCAGTGGGATGGTTTTATCTGAAGCATAAATCTGAGCTGGTCCCTCAAAGAAAACATCGAACTTTTGCAACACTGGAACAAAAACCTCAGAGTTATTCCACAAGGGCAGAAGACTACCTGGGCACAGGATCACAAAAGAGAAGAGTATGTTCCCATGAAGGAACATGTTAATGAGGTAAAAGCAAGTATTAATTAAAAACAGGGAAACCAAAGAAAGAATCCTTTTTTTTTCCCCCAACAGTCTTGCAGAGGTCTTTAGTGTATTCTCAATCTGCCAGAAGGTACCTTCTCCAGAAATCTCCAGCACAATCTCCCTTGTGTTCATTTCTATATTGCCCATAAATTTGTGTTCAGTCATAGCTCTCAGGCAGTAAATCCTATTTTACAACATGTGGCTTTACATTGTTATACAGACAGGCAAGCAACAAACAAGCATCAAACTTCTTCCATCCCTTTCTTCATTCTCCTTACCACGTTCCTCCACCTGAAAGGTGCTGGACTGCACTGAGCTGGACTTAAAGGACTGGACACTGATGGTGTAAGTCCCCAGGGAGAGTTCATCAGCTAACTGGAAAGAGAGATCTGCAATGCCCTGTTTTGGTCTCACATCCAGCCACTGGCCAACGCGGTTTTGGTTCGGGTCCTGCAGTGCAAGGGGAGGAAAGAAGAGGCAGTCATCAGCAATGCTGGCTGTTCTCCACCCAGAGCCCACTGGATTCAAAGGCATGTCAGACATTTCAGAGGCTTTCACAGGCTCCTGCTGGTTTTAGTCCAGATGGTGATGCTGGAGCACCAACAGAGGTGAACCCAACCCACCCAGGTTTGCTCTGCTCTGCACAGCCATGGAAAAAGAAGGTATGGAAGGTTCTGACATTTAGACCCTGCAGCCTCCAGTAAAGATGAACTATAAAAATTAGCTAAAGCCTGGCCCACATTCCTGAATGTAGAAATGGATGAAGTCAAACCATTTGTATCATCAAGTCTTGTAAACAAGAAGCATTTGGACAGAGAATGTGCATGCATAGAGATTAAGAAAAGTAATTTGAACCAGTAAGACAGCATCCTAGGCACTATCCATACTGAAATACCTTTCCTCATAACACCTGAGGAGTCTGGAACACCCACCTTGATTTCCACCATGGAGTACTGTAAAGCAAACAGACAGCACTGTCAAAAACCGGCATGACACAGCAACCTGCACATAAATTTCTCTTACCCACCCAGTCCCTGTACTGTGACCAACATTATGATACAAGAAGCTTGATCCTACTGAAAGCAGGACAGCTGCTTTGAAATAGTAAGGAATAGTAAAAATCTATGCTATTCTTCAGATTTGCTTTTTGAGGCCTGAATATTTAAGATGCATTTTGGTAGGTATTTGACAATGATGAAAGCAAGAGTTGGCTCTAATAAAATGGGGAAGAGTAAGAAGACTCTCAAATACCATCATCCCAAGTTCACAAATGTTAAATGGCCTCAATTTTTAACATATATCCAAATAATTAGCAAAACTGCATCACCTATAGGAAGAATACTCAGAAAATCTTCCTTTAAAATCCCTGGCATAGGCGATAAAGCTGGAAGCTATGACTTAATACTGACTGCAGCTGACAGTAATAGGGAGGGACAAAGGAGGACAAACTTCAGCCCTTTTAGGCCCATTAATTCTCTGTTTGTCCTTATATCACTGCATGTATCATCCAGGAGACAGTATTGGTGAAGAGCCTCTAATCTGAGATCACAACACATAAAGAGGCACAGGAGCAGGGCTCAGGAGAATAACCAGACAGTAAACATGCTGTTTACATGTAATTCACATTATTCATCATTCTAAGCTTTCATGCAAGTTATCAGAGGCAGCTCTGTTTTCACTGAAATAAAAAAAAATGTGCAGATTAACCGGCTGGTGAACACCACCCATATTAACTTCAACTCATCTATTTTACAAACTAGATATTATAGCTTCAGTGCTGCAGCGCACTCAAGCCTTTATAATAGCTTTGGCTAAACACAATCTCTTTGAATTTTCATCACAGCAAAATTAACAGTTACAATGTTAATTTGTTTGTACTCACACACAGACATCAAGCCTTTACAGTCAAATATGTACATGAACCAATTGTAGGCATGGAAGCAAATGTATTGTTTATACTTCATTATCTTATTAATATAAGATATATGCCTTCCCTTTGGGGAGAAGAAAGGAGTGTTTGATCCTAGAACCTCACCAATAGCCCAAAAAAGAGGAAATTAAGTCAGTAATAAAGAAGCTGGAAGGATCTCTCCCTTTATTTTAGTCTGGAAGGATTTGGTCCAACTTCCCTAATGTGTGCCCTTCAGTATTTTAATCGTCATGGCATGAATTCCTGTTGGCTCTCCCTAAATTGCTTGAGGACTGAGGAGTGAAATGGCTATAGCTGCTGGCTGCAGATATAATTGCTTACTGAGGAATGGCACCAGCCTTGCAGTTTCCTGGCCACCACATATGTAAGTCTCTGGCAACCTCTCACTCCTTTGACATGGGGACAATGAGCTGCTGCCAGCAGCAAGTCAGTATAATTTGGTTATACTGTTTTCTCTCTTTTTTTTTAATGATCACTTCCTGTGAATCCTTCCCCATATTAATTAATTTTTCTTAAAATGTTGCAGTTTGCTTCAGGCTCTCCTGCCACCCTCAGGTGCCACACACTGCACAAATCACTGAGCTTTCTGGAGCTGTGGGAGGGGATCTTCGAGTCTGGTGATGTCTTTGTCTGATAATTATGCCCAAAGTCAGCAACCCACAGACTGGTCCCCAGAATCCCTGCCTGCTTTTTTGGCAAGGGCAGGTGCACTCAGGTAACTCAGCTAGCTGGGAATGCTGGCACACTCCCCAAAGACCATCCAACCCTCCCATCAACCAGCAGCCATCCTACAACAGCAACAGCAGAGCCATCAGCCAACAGGAATTGCTGTTCAAATTTGGTTTACTCGAGGGTTGGCATTGACCCCCCTGGGTGCTGGGACTGTCCCAGAAAGTAGGGTGCCTCTCCTCTCCTTCCAAAGTCTCCAGGACACCTGCTGTTGTTGCTGTTTCTCCCTGGCATAGGGTTGGTAGAGGAAGCAGAACCACCTGAAGCCTGGAGACTTCCTTGCCTCCACTTAGACAGGCTTTACCTTGCTGTTAACAGGAACAAAATCTTCAGTCAATGTCACAATCCTGAATTTCACTGGAGGGAGAAAATGGAGTAAAGCACATTACAGACAGAGTGTACATGGGAATGGACTTGCCCCGCCCTTGTCCCACCCCAGAACCACAGCTCACACCCAGCCCTAGTGGCAGCCCCATGCCTGCCCTGCAGCCCCTCTCACCTCTGCTTGCCCCAAGCACGTGGCAGCAGCACAGCTGCTTCACAGTTTAGGGGTTTTCCCATGGGCTACAGCCAGAGTTACCCTTACATTTCCTTGTCTGCAGTGTAGGCACACCAGTCCCGCCTGGCCCTGGCCAAGGAGACCATGTTTAGGTCTGCTCCCCTTTCCAAGCCAGCTCTGCTCCTAGAGCATGTCAGGCCTCCTCTCCCAGGCCCCTCCTGCTGCCAAAACATGGGCTCCCTCACTGCAGCTCTGTCCCCATGGAGGCCACATGGCACAAAGTGCTCAGCACTCCACTGACAGGAAACTGGGAACCAAGCCTGGGAGGTCAAGGCAGGGCCACTGTCAGGGTGCTCTGTGCTTTGCTCACCTGTCTGTCCTGGATTGTAGATGGGCTTATCCATCTGAATGAAGGTGCCTGGTCCAGCCCTGCGGATCAGGACCTTTTTCTCTTCACTTGCACTGAAGTAGTGGCCATTGGAGATGTGCAGGTGTACAGTGGCCACCTCCTGGCTGCCTGCAGGTCGGGGCACCTGGGACACAGAACAGGAGAGCCACGAGGTTAGCAGGCATCAGAGCAGTGCTCTTCTGGCTTCAGCTGCACTGCAAGGCCAGGCTGCAAGGCCAGGCTCTTTGCCATCCTACTCTGGAGGCCAGCATAGGGCGTCCCCTCAGTGGCCAAAGGCTGTGTCTGTGGAAGCACAGGAAACAAGGCTTAGCAGCTGAGATAGATCTTGGACAAGAGAAAAAGGAGTCTATTCTGACACAGAAATTTTGTTTACTCCTTCATGGGACCACTGTTAGAATCTGCATGGAGCAAGATGGAGAAGATTAACTCAAGGGAAGAAAAGGTGTATGGTGATGAGAATTCCACTTCCTAGAGGGTGAGGGGCAGAGAGACTGAAATCCCATCTTATTATCAGTGCAAACTAAGAAAATAAGGATCATGAGTTTGGCAAATAAGAAAGATTTATGCTGAGCTTGTGTGTACACGTCTTTCCTAATCCTACAGTACACTTTCAAGTCCAGAAAGAGAAGCTTGGAAAGAAGCAGACATGAGGGAAGCTGTCTGAGATGAGAGGTGTGACTCTTTCTGCATCACAGATTCACAAACAACACGCTGTGACATTGCATGCTCCTCAGGGGAGAGAATGAGTTGCACGACCACCATTTGGGTGCTTCTAAGCAATCCACCCTCCTCAGACCTTTGCTCCCTGGCCAGGCAGCCTTTCCCCAGTGTGCCACCAGGATATCCCACAGGAAGAGTGCCATGCAGACAGACAAAGGCAAGGAGCAAAGCCACCGGGCTGCCACTAAACCCTCCCCATGATTTTGCATTCACTCCTTTCCATGCCCCCTTATCTTCTGTCTTCCTCATTCTCTCTTTCTTTGGTGAGAGGCAAGTGAGGAAGCTGTGAGCTGCCAGCAAGGGGTCCCTGCCAAGAATGACTCTGACCTGGAATCTGGTGCACTCGAAAATCCCGTTGTTCCGGATGACCTTGCGGTAGAGGCTGAGGTTGCCAGATGGGTGCACAAGGGTTAAGGCCACACGAATGGGCTTTTCAACCCCACGAAGGTCCAAGCATGCCCTCTGGAATGAGGGATAGGGCAGGGCAGCTGGAATGATGATCAGGTACCTCCTGCAGTGGGGAAACAAGATATCATCACATCCCAGGAGCCCTCTCGCCCACTCTTGGCACTACAAGGGTGGCCTGAGGAAACAGGAGAGTTTGCCATCTCTCTGAGGCTAGGAGGTGCTGCTCTGCTGGGGAGACTGGGACAGATTGCCAGAGTGAGAACCTTGCACACGGGGATGGAAATTATAGAGTTAATTTCAGATAAATACAAGACGAATACTTTCAGGTGACAGAACAGAATTTGCCCTTCTTGCTTCGTCATGGTTCCTCAACTTCCCTGACAGCAGATTGGTTCCTGCTTATCCATCCCCTGCCTTGCAGCCCTTTTCATTTGCCCTTCCCTTTAATCTACACCTTTTCCTTCATCCCACCTCATCCTGCACTCCTTCACTCTTGTTCCCACCACCAGTGCTCACCTAGTTCTTGTACTGCAGAGATATCCATGGGAGAGGTTCCCACCTTCAGGAGGGCCCTGCATTCACAACAAGGCTCTGCACTCCACCCTCCTTCCAGGAGCTGACTCACAGAGTCCCACACTCTCTCCCTGCTATCTTGGCCCCTCCCTCAGCATTCTTATCAATCACTAGATTTTTAACTGGCACTTACGGTTGTGCCACTATCCCCAGGGTGTAGAGCAGGCAGCTCAGGAGGAAGGGAGTCCACATTTTCATGGGAGAACCCCAAAGGAGTGGCTTCCTTGGGAGGGCTGCTCCTCTCCTTCCAAAGTCTCCAGGACACCTGCTGTTGTTGGTGTTTCTCCCAGGAAGCAGACACAAAGCCCCAAGGTTTCCTTCCCTCCACCTCTTTCCTGGATTTATAGTGCTGCAGGCACGGGGTTGTACCATCCAGGATGTTCCCTAGCCAATCCAAGTCCTTCTGGATTCTCTGGCCTCACTGCTCTCCTACTCCCCTGTGGATGGAGCAGTGTCATTCAGACAAATGTGCCTTTCATTTTGCCAACCAGCAGCCTGTTTCCTGCTCACTGCACTGCCCCTGCTCTCTGGGCCAGTTGCAGCCCAAGTCCCATTGTTTGGCCTCCAGCTGGATTGTCCCATGACCCCTTGGCTTGTGCACCCAGCTGGAGCTCACTGTGAGCCCTTGTGGTCATACTGTCCCCAGGCTTGCTGAGTCTGTAGGACCCAAGGCAGGTCTCAGTCCTGAAATGGAGACCAGGCTTTGTACAAATTCAGTATATTTGCATAGCTCACTGCTCCCTCACAGAGGAGGAAAGCACAGGGAGCAGGCAGAGCTGGACTCCTCACCTTGCCTCTACCCTACAGACATTTCAGTTTGAAGAGAAAATTGAACAGCTGCAACTCACCCCAGCTGTATCACATTGCTCTGTGCTACAGTTCAAGGCCAACCTACTCACACCTTCACCAGCAGAGGAAATGAGGGTTAAATATTGGTCAGGCAGGTAAAAATCTGCATGACTGAAGTCCTACAGGGTCTTGCCTAGCTACCAAAAGGCTGTGCTTGAGCCCTGGGTGATGGGAACACACACTATCTGGTTTGGGGCCTTCTTTCCACATGCTATTTTTATGTATGTTAGTCCACTGATTATACTGAACTTTTCCCTGAGTACCTTACCATAACTGAAAAGAGAACTTGGTTCTTGAAATTACTCATTCTCAAAATAAGGAGTTTTTCAATTTTAGTATCAAGGTAATTTCATATCAAAATTCTTCAGTACCAAACTGAGCTCTTAAACATGTAGATCCTGGTAATATCTTCCTTCGCTTTAGTACAGGCTGACCATGACAAGGAAACAGTTTTGGGGCTTTCTTTTACCCACTCATGCACACACTTGTAATGGGCAAATACAACTCCTCTCTCTCCCTTCCCTCTCCATGGGCTTTGTTCAGGTCAGAGCTGCTAGTGCCAGCAGTTGGGAAAAATGCATAAACGCACCTGGACAAACAAGCAAACAGGAACTGGAGCAAGAATGTGAATCATTCTGGCACTGAGCTGCCCTTCATTTATTTCCATGGGTCTCAAAAAGTACAGGCAGTGCCTGTTGAACAATCCCAGCTGACATTTGTTTGTTCACAGCAGATCCACAGCAGTTCCAGGGGACAGCCAGATCCCTCAGAACAGCACAGGGGATCACAATGACAAAGGGTGTCCTGGCTCCTACTTCCTCCAGCAGCTGTTTTGTGAGAGCAGGCGTGTAAACACCTCTGAGGTTCTGGGCTTGGCACTGATTGGAAAGCTACACTTGAGCACCCAATCCAGTCTAACTCCCAGTGAAACAGAATTAAATAAATGTAGGAGCAACAAAAACAAAGTGGCAGGCTTGGTGTGTGTGATTCATGTGCCTCAGTCCTATCTCCATCTCCTTCTTCCAGCACAGTGACCAGCTGCTGGTGGGCAGGAAGCACTGGAGAAGGGAGCACCCAGGGCTCTGCACCCCCCAGGACTTGGTGACAGGGCACACAGTACCTGGGTGCTGTCCTGTGCTGAGATCTTTCCCCAGCCCACAGATCCACACATCAGCTGGGCCAGAGACAGGCAAGAGGCACATCCAGAGTGGATTTGTGTCCCTGGAAGCCAGCAGTTCTCAGTGCTCATGCAGTGAGATGATCACAAGCTAAATGGAAGGATGCACACCAGCAAGCTCCAGCCTGGATCACCACAACCCCTCCATTTTGTGAAGGATAAAAAAAAAATTACTGAGATGTTTGACATCTGCTGCTCTAAGCAGAGAAGGGGATGTTTAAGCCAGAGAGATAAATAATAAATAGATGTGTTTTGTAGAAAAGTGGTTTTTCCCTGTCTAAATTCTCTTGGAAGACAGCCACCTCCTTCCAAACGCTCTCTAGTACCCACGCATCACAGGTATTACTGTTTAAATCTCATAAAGAGCATTTTAAAGGACACAGAAGAGTTATTAAGAAAGTGGAATAGAAATTACAATGGATATTGAGTCAAAAGTGACAGTATGTGTCATTTTTACCCAGAGTGTGTGTGCACATAGGCATAGGAGTTGGGGGCTTGTGTGTGTGACCTCCTTATGCAGTAAAGGGCTCCTGCATGAGCTACCCCTCATGGTGTCAGCAAGGGGTAGGTTGGATCCCTGTGTGTGTATAACCACCACAGGATTTGTTTTCCCAATAAACCTCTATGCTGGGGATTTTTCTCAGACTGTGCTTTGCTAAGCTCTGCAAAACGGATTGTAAGGACGTGGTGGCATTGGCAGTGGTAGGTGGAGTTCCTCCCTCTCTGCAGGACTCCAAGCTCTAGGCAGTGCACTCTCCAAATACCAGCAACAGCTGTAGGCCTGGCTGGCTCCAGTTCTGCTCTTTGGTATCAGCAATGACAGAGTTTGCCAGTGGTAAAGGCAAGGGAGAGAGAAGACATTTGCAAAGAAAGCAGAAAAATTTGCAGTGTTTTAAAAAAGTTTCAAAGAAAGTAAATAAAAATTCTGTTCTGTGGAGTTGAGATCTGCATTGCTCATGGACTACTGAGGAAATTGAATAAAGAGAGGAGGAAAAGCACCTGTTTAAACAAAGGTGCAACATCAACTCAGCCACTTCTGGTGCTGCACAAGGTATTGCTACCATTCAGCTGCAGGTGCTTTCATTCTAGCCCTGTTAAACTGCACATGAAGCACAGAGCAGGCTGTCAGCAACCTGCCTTGCTGGCACATCTCCTCAGTGTGTTCACTCTCAAACAAACAAACTTGCAATGCTCATGTCTTTGTCTCACATTCAGGACTTGCTGAGTCTTCAGGATTACTCTGGAGCATCATAGTTAAAATTTAAACACGCTTTCCAAATCCCTCCCATTAAAGCACCACAAATTCCAGCCTTGCTGCAGGGTAGGGAGAGTTTTCAGGGCTGTAACCAAATCCTGACCCTCACCTCTCACCTGTCTTCCAGGCCTTCCACTCTTAAGCCTGCCTTTGCACTTAACCATCACACTCTTACAGCCAGCTCTAGGGAAGGTCTGTGGAGATTCACCTGATTATACAGAGAATGGTCACCGTCAACCTCAAAGATCTGTGATCACCAGCACTCAAATCGTGAGGTTTCATTTTAAAAAGTGGCGATAGATGTTGAATTTTCATTTACTCTTTGCCTGTTGAATTGCCTGTCCAGCTCCTTGTAATGGGGCAAAGACCCTGCTCACTTTCCTCACTCATTATCAGGGGGTTCAGCCCCAGGGCACCACCCCTTCCTGACAACTCATGTTTGACTTGTCCTGTGCAGGATTCAGCTCCAGAGGAGGTGCAGAAACTAAATAACTCCCTTTCTGCTTTCTATTTTTTTCATACACAGCAGGGTAGATTTACATCCACATAAAGTGCACCAGCAGCCAAGTCCTTATGGCTCAGCTACATCTGTGTGCAGGAGATGATGCCCAGTGGGATCAGTCTCCATGCAGGACTAGGAGTCCTCACCCCATACTGATGACTGCATAACATTGCTGGAGGACAATCCAGTGCTGGAGGAAATTAATGCCAGTGAAACAGCTGAGACACAGTTTGCTCACTCTTCTCAGGTAAAGGCTGTCACAAAGTCCAAACACACACCACAGTAGCCAGATTTGTGATTTGTATTTTATTTTCATTCTTTTTGCAAGCAAGAAAACCCTTGGATTAAAACAATCAGAGTTAATCAGACACCCCAAAAAATTCACCAGGTAATGGCTGTCAGGATGAGCAGCATAGCTTAGGCTGGAGTTAGTCCTGAAATCCAGCCTGAGATGTATCCCAGCACCAAAATCCCAAGCCTGAGATGTGACTTTCCAGGTGTCTCATTATACCAGGAGCAATAATGCAGCAGCCCCACTATCCTAAGGCATCTTGCACTAGTGGGATCCCTGGGAGCTGAAGCAGTGGACAGTAAGGAAGCAGTCCAAGTCCCTGGAGAAATGAGAGCAGAAGAGAGAGTAACCCAGAGAACAAATAATATGACCCAAATTATTAATTTGGGATGTAACAGCTAGGGAGCACAGACTCTCACTAAGGACTCTAAAGGAAAGGGTTTTTTTGTTTGATCCACTATCTTTGTGTCACTTCAGCCCCTCCCCAGTAAGAGAAACTCTCCATACCCAAATATAATAAGCTGAAACTAGTACCATGAATTCTGCTTAGGGAGTTTCAGGTACAGTCCTGGATGAAGGGAACATGCCGGACCAGAGATACTCAGGGCTCCAGCAGGACACAGAGAAGAGGATGGGGTGCACAGGAAGGTCTGCACAGGGGGCTGAGGAGGGGATTTGCACCTACCTCAGATGCAGAAGACATTGTAGTCAGTCAGGGCCTGCTCCTCTGCAACAGAAGAGGAGGGATCTAAGTTATCCTTGCACAGAGCCAAGTGCAGACACCCAGGCAGCCCTGGCACCCCATGGCTGCATACTGACCTGGGCTGTAGTAGTCATAGACCCTGACATGGCCTGGCTTCAGGTTGGTCACCTCAATCTCCTGCTCCAAATGCAGGATATATGTATCAGAGATATGGCTCAGCTGGGGAAGAGAATAAATGACAGTTCACTTCTGAGCTGTTCTTTTTATTCCTCACCTGAATTTGATCCTCCTAACTGACAATAACAACTCTGTAGACTCAAACACTGGACTTCAAGATGAATCTCGAGTATATTGATCTGCTAGCCCCAGTCCTGGATTCTCCCTAAAATTCTAGCATTGCCCTCCACTCCTTCAGGTTCTCTAGCAGCACAGACATTACCTTGTCCAAGTAGATGGCAACACCTCCTTGTGTTTTCTCAGTTCTTCTCACAGAGTGTCCATGCTGCAGCTAGGACAGGAGAGAGCAGAAAGCAATTTAGTTTCGTCTTTTGAAAGCAAAGTGTGAGGCATCCCAACAAGGTTCATCTGAGTTGGCAGATTTTCATTCACTCCCTTCCAAATGTATTTTGGACTCTTATCTCTTCAGGCTGATCTCCTTGCAGGGCCACTCAACTCCTGCAAACCCCAAGGACAAGAGCCTAGGGCACTTAGCTGACAGGGGAATGCTAAGCTGATTGGGCCAGAAGTATCACCATCCTCAAGACTCACAGAAACAGGCAACAGTATGTGTTCAAGTTCATTGTGTGGCAGAGAGGAAGGGATGGTGAGATTGCTCAAGGAAGAGACCGGCAACACCTTCCCATACAGCCTTCCTCTCTCCTTGGGCACGGATGGTCCCACTGATACCGCTTCCCCACCCTGATACCACACATCTTACAGACATCCCAGATCCTGGGGCCAGGGCAAATCCAGTTGGTAGGGACACCTCCAGAATCACCATGTTGGAAGTGGATTTCTTCCCATTGTACCTTGGGGAGAAGATAAAAAAGAGTGTCTCTGGGGGAGAACATTAAAAAGAGAATCTCTCCCAGCTTTCCCTTCCCTTTACCAGCAGACCCTGTGTGCAGTGCCCTGAGCCAGGCAGCCCAGCCAGGTCTGGGGCCGAGGCAGTCACTGCTCCTTCTCACAGTGTGCAGAGGATGGGGCTGCACTGCCCTGAGCATCCCCAGTCTGAGCTGATACTGCACACCTCTCTCAGCAAGAGCCAAGGCTCTGCATCCTCCCTCCTGCTGAAACTTCCTGGTGCCTCCACTGCAGCCAAGAAGCATCCCTCAGCTCTCCAGCCATGCCCAGCTTTCCTTCCCAACTGGGATGAGATGTTTAGAGTCACCTGACATTGACATGGACAGTAACGGAGCGTGTGTTGTCCTTGGTGCAATTGACAGGCTTGGTTTTCACTTGCAAGGCAAAGGATGTGGAGTCTTGTGGGGAGGGTGTGTTGTACCTCAGCACCAGCTGCAGGGAGAGACAAAAAGACAGACTAAAACATTGATAATTATTTTTATGTCATCTATGACACCTTTTTTTAACACTGGCTACTCAACTCCTCAAGATTCGACCCCAGACAGTGAATGGATAAATGATATGCAGTAAGCACACTGATCCCAGTACCCAAAATAAAGGTCACTCAGATTGGAAACCTTCCATGGGCTCCTTCTCAAACTTTCAGTTGAGACTGTGCAAGTCAGACACACAGCAGTGGGATCACTATAAAGCATTTTCATCTTCCAGTACTCTTGAGAGCCATGGAAGCATCACGGTCCTCATATTTGGGCAGGTTCTGTTTCCTCCCACACACAGGTTTACTGCATTGGCACCAGGCTGGGGTTAAAGCACAGTCAATGCACATTTCCTTCCACAGAGGTGCAGCAGAGTTTTGGTTTTGACAAAATGAGGGGATGAGGGAACCTACCCGAGTAAAGACACAGCAGCTGCCATGGGCCTGCACCAAGAACTTGCCCGGGACCTCTGTCAGTGCTGCCTCCTGCACCAGCAGCCGGTTCTGGTAGGAGACCAGGAACTTCTTCCCAAAGCCTCCACGGGACCTCACCCTCACCTCTGCATCCCCCTGTGTGCTGTGTGTCAGTGCTGCATACTTGGCCAGTGCCTGCAAGGCCACCACTGTGTCCTGAAAAGGAAAACACAATTACATTTGCTTCTCTGACATGCAGAGACACTTGAAACCAGCGTCCTGAGGACCTCCACATACAAGGGCTCCTTTGCCCAAAGCATTTACACTTCCATACATTGTGTACATATCTTGCAGAATTTCTTTCTTAAGAAACATCCCCTTTCCTGGCCATGAGTTACCTGTGTTGAGGCAAAGCCTCCATAGGCATTCTGCTGCCTGGTGAGCCAGGCCACGATGCCAGAGGCCATGGTGAGGTCAGACTCTGTGACATTTGGCTTGGAGAGCAGGGCCAGGAGGACGTAGGCTGTCAGCTCCACATCCACAGGCACTGGCTGTGACCAAGGGCTGGTATCGGTTCTGGGCTTGGATGAGGCCTGACTCCAGTGGATCTGCCCATCTGGGAAAGGAAGGTAGCAGAGGGACTCCTGAGGGGTATGAGGGAACAATTCCTGTGGCCTAGCCTCCTAGTCACAGTGGCTTGTGTTTGCAGAGACCACTGGGTAAACACCTTTAGACTGGGTCATCACATCACCAGGGCAGCTGAAAATCAATGTATTTTGCAATACCAAAAACTCCATATCTCACACCAAGGTGACATGCAAAAACTAATATGGCAATAATCTGCATATGCATTACCTCCCAGTTGTCCAAATTCTGTAGTGTCTTGTTTGCTAGGTCCACTAACAACCTGGTACTGGCCAGCTGTCCACTGGCCAGCCCTGAGGGTCAGGGACTAACAAGACATGGGGCACCTTGCTCTCCTCTCTGGCATTTTGCAGTCCTGCACAAGAATGCCCAAGTCTCCCAAACCCCAACCTCCACTTTAGAAAAGGGCAAGAGATCTGAAGGAAATCAGCACCCACACCACAGTGTTGGCAGCACACACCATGAGCTCATTCAGTGGATGTCTAAAAGCTCTCCTTGGTGAAGGGCCTGGAGGGTGAGGCCGTGCTCCCCCCATCTGCACCTTACCAAGGGCTCAGAAATGTCACCTGTCCCTTCTCTGGCGTTCCCCTGGCTCCGAGGTCCCCGTACCTGCTCTGATTGCCTTTTGGTCAAGCACGTTGAGGAGCTCTTGTGTGCGCTGGGAGTCCTTAGCCAGGGCGAAGGTGTAGGCCAGCAGGGCCTGGGTGTAAGGGCTGGCAGCCTTGGGCAGGGCAGGAGCGATGCAGCCCAGAGCCCTGCGCACCACCGAGCTCTGCAGGGGAGAGGGTCACGCTGCTGGTCACACACAAACCCCTGGGACACGAGCAGGAGCATGCACACTTTCCTGTGCCAGCACAGAAAGCACCCCATTCATTCACTGTGGTGACTCTGTGCCTGGACCTGCACTCTCTCTATCAGCAGCCGCAGCATCTTCAGCCCTTGGTGGAAGGTGCTCAACAGACCTCCCCCCTGAACTGGTTTTGGGCTTCAGCAGTGCTCTCCCACTGAAATGAGCACCTTTCCTGAGGGAATAACACCACCATGTCTTGCTTTCCCAGGCCAAACACAACAACAGCAAAATCACACAACTGTTAACAAGTACACACAGCCTGCTGAGCAGTGTGACTGTGTTTAATTCACCTTCACAGTGAATAATTGTACTGATGGTGAAAAAGGGGTGACCTGAAGGACATCTATTGCCAGAAAGAAGAATAATTTCCGTCTTCCCTTTTTTTGCCTAAGCGCACTGCCTTCTGTTCCACTAAAAAGCATTGCTTTTTCATTTACTTTTCTGACTTCTAGAGAGCTTCATTTCTCAATTGTGTTTCTCCATCAAGTTAATTGGTTTTTTATTTGCCTGTGCCACAGCCTAGTGACTAGCTACAATCCTTAGCACTTGTAAGAGCTCCCTCTTATTGTCATTACTTAACCATGCAGTTACAGCTGCCCTACAGCACTCCCTTCCCAGACTTCTGCTTTATTTGTGAAGCTAAACCCTATTAGGAATTACATTATGTTTATTTACTTGACTGTGGGAGCAGCTCCACCCACCTCATGATCAGCCTCAGCTGGGTAGGAACAGCAAGAGCATGGAAGGAGTGGGAATTAACAGCTCATTCCTGGGAAATGGCCAGCACGGTATCTAGCCATGCAGTCCAGTGGTTCCCAGTAGTTTAACCTCACCTTCTCCCTGCCAGGGATGTCATCCTCAAAGGGAGAGTTTTTCCTGAGAAGCTGTAAAATCCTCCTCACCCACTCAATTACTTTGCCCACAAGTCCCTCCAAGGTGCTCTGATGCCTGCCCCAGTGTTTCCACTAAGCTCTTTAAGATCCAGATGTTAAGGCAAGAGCATGGCAAAGAATCCCAGGATTTACCTCTGGTGTTGCTCCTGCCTCCAAGTATGCAGCAGTGATGTAGGCAGCCAAGGGGACTTCCCCATCTACACCTCCCTAAAAAAAGCATAGACATCCAAAAAGCCGGGAAAATTAATAGGCAAATACTGAAGATTTTAAGGAGAGGTCTCATCTGTCCCTAGCTTGCTCCCTCTCAAGAAAGCACTACAACACAGGCAAGTGAATTTAAACAATTACCAGCACACATGGCAAGAACTGCTTGGTGCTGTCCTTCAAGGTACACTGGCTCCTACCTTCATGAATGTGTGGAAAAGTTGTCCCACATTTTTGAAGCAACCACTGGGAAGCTGGTGGAATTCCAGCCAGCTGAGAGCAGCCTGGATAATCCGGTTGTCCAGGTAAATGTATGGCTTGGCTTGGACAAAGCATTTAACCACAAATGCAGTCAGCCTGATTAAGGAGAACAGAAAAAAAAGGCATGAAAGAAGAAAGAGAGAATCAGAGAGAGGTGGAGTGCATGAAAGAGCAGGTAGAATGAATGTAAAGAAAGAATCTAAGCAGAAGTTGGGGGGAAAAGTGGGAGTTTGAAATTGGTGGATCTCTCTTCACCTATTGTGCGATTTCTAATGTGCTGGTTCAAGATCAGTTCATCCCCAGGACTGGGGTGCCCTAGTCCACAAAGCTTCTAGAACACTTTGGATCCAATAGGACAGCAAGGGTTTCATGCTGGAAGCAGGAAGCTGCCCCCCTCCTGGCTGTCAGAGAGCAGGTAGACAGCAGGGAGAGAGCCCAGGGCTTACCAAGTATTACCATACTCATCCTTGGTACCAAATTCACTGTAGGAGCCATCAGGGTGCTGATACTGCAGCTGTATCTGGTACCCTGGGAAGCAGGATGGGACATGAGTGCTCACAGTGGTATTTGCAATGAAATTGCTGTGCAGGAATGGGATGGTTGAATGCTCCAGGTGGAAGGGGAATAGGAACCTGGTACTGTTGGACACAGGGAAGGCAGAGGGGCAGGGTGGCTCTGTGGCACTCACCATTGCGCAGGAATCCTGCTGCCCTGGCCTTGATCTCAGGGCTCAGCTGCCTCGTCTTCTCCAGGTACTGCAGCACATAGACAACGGGGGCAAACAGCACCATGTTCTGCTCCCCACAGCCGTGGGGCAGCTGCACCAGGTGGTCCAGGTTCTGCAGTGCCAACCCCATGAGGTCCCCTGAGACAAAATATAAGCACCTTCATCACCTCCTAGGCAGTAAGATCCACCTCCTCCTACCTGTGACCATTCCCAGCAGTGCACCAAGCAAGGCAGGCCCAGCACAGCAGTGTGGGGACTCCTCTGTCCAGCCACCTTATCAATTCCACTGTGCCCCTCATATGAGCTGTACACATTCCCGTCCTGGCAGGGAAGCTCATCAACACAACATTCTCTCCCTTGCTGCATGTTTTAGGTTGTCAGTGATCAGGAATCACAGCCACACATGTGAGAAGAACATGGCAGTGGAGCCTTGGAAACCTCAGAAGTGGGGTGTGGGGGAATTTGGGCTTTCCTTGGGCTAAACTCAGAGATATGAGATTTGCAAGGGTACTACCATAGCTTAGCTCCTTACCAGTGACTGAGACGGTGGCTCTGACTGAACCTTCAACCACATTTAGAGGCAGCACCAGGGACACAGACTCCTCTGCTGGATTCCCTGACACCAGTCAGGTAAGGTGTGGAGAGAACAAAAAAGAAATAGATTCTGATGAAAAAAAGCCGTCAAACCCCCAGAAACTGTTCAAGGCTGTCTTGTGATAACTTCCCATTTTTCTGTCACAGAAGCTGTAAATCACTTCCAAAATCTATGTCCCATTCCACCCTTAATTTCCTCCATCCACCTCATGATAACTGTGCTGTCCTAACACCCCTCTTTATAAAGAGGTTGAGAGGATTTTCTCCTGGAAATCCTCAGGGGTCAAAGTCACCTATTTTTCTCTACAGAAGTTACTCCATCTCTTTTAAGATTTCAGTTGCAGGTTTGTCTCCTCAATGTTCCTCATGCTCTCAAAATCAGCTGATGGCCCCATCATATGCCATAAAATTCCAGACAGGAACAGCAATCCTAAGCCATGACCTCCAGCCTCGCCATGTTCACTAGTGTGGTTTTATTTCCACAGGTGAAAAAGGGCTCAAGCTGTCACATTAGCGCCAGGGATGTTGATGGTTAAAGAGCAGACCTCCCCACATCCCTGCCTAGGAGAAAGCCCTAGCTGGCACCACAATTAGAGTACACTTCTGTAGCTTTATCATGCGGACAGAGGAAATTGTTCCACCTGTTTCCACCTGTTGAACTATTCTGGGTTGGATACCCAGAAGGTGGTTGGACAGAAAGAGAGAGATGAACAGGGCGAAAGAAGAAAGCAATCCATCTACCTTTTTCGGGACACAGGATGGAGCTGTGAGCCTTTTCTACCAGCACTCCCTCTGGCTGTTGGAGCACATAAAAGTAGCATTTTAATGAGCACTCAGGAGAGAAACAGGATTACAAGTGGATTAGAAGAAGGTATGTTCAGAATCCTAGTTCAGGGTGGACAGTCAGCTGGAGTATCATCATTATCACACAAAAATACAAACTACTTTCAACAATTTTCACTTCAGATCAGAAACCAGCATGCATTTTCAGAATATCCTAAATTCTGAATATCTGTGAAAATGGTGCCCTAAGATTCAGCAGAGAACTCAGGAGGCAAGGACATAAAAGAGTGTTTAAAGTTTCCCATGGTATGAAGTAGAGGACATCCCTTTACCTTCTACATCCATCAGCCCTCATGGCTGAGCCCAGCTTAGGCCCTGAGATGATAAATGCACATTTTGAACAGCATTTTGAATAGTAATTCCCAAAATTAACACACACAAAATCTGGGAATTGCACAAAGCCTATTTGAGGCTTAGGTAACATAGCAGCTTGACTGACCCGGACTTGAATGAGCTTGGTGATCGTGTCTTTCTGTCCTTGTTTTGGGACAAATGGTATCTCCTCACCACAGAGCTCTTTGGAGGCCACAGCCTCTGTGCTGAGGGTGATGTTCACAAGCCCTGAAAATAACACACATTTAGGTGCATAAGACACTTTCTGAGGAAACACTTCCTGTTAATACAATAGACATCACCTGCTGACAACAAAAATATTTATCAGAGCCCTATATGTTTTTGTACCTCCTAACACAGCCTTGTGAGTAACCATGACCATAGGATAACTGCAAATAACTACTCTGGGTAGCAAAGCAAACAGCTCCTCACTCTATGTCAGCTCTTACAAAACACCCCCACCTTGGTCCCCTCCCTTCCCAATTCCATTACCCCACCTCCCTGTGCTTCTCACCCAGCTGCTCAGCTGTGACACTCCACTGAAAGGTCTTGGCTTCCCCGGCACACAAACAGCTGCTGTAGGCACAGCCTTTGCATGGCTTCAGCTGGAAGCGTGCAGACTCCTCCAGGGTCACTTGGATCTGAAGGGGCAGAAGGGATGGCAGGTGGCAATAAATAAACATCAACAACACAAAAAGGAAGCCTACAGAGGGTAGAAGCAGGGCACAGCCTGAGAGGAATACGCACAGATTGTTTGACTAGCCAGGGATCAGATTGGAAAAGCTAAAATCCTGGCAACCTGGCCAGGGTTATCAAGGGCAATGTCTGTGTTTGTGCTTGGGATTGCCCCAGCCCACAGGACCTTGCACTTGGCCTTGCTGAACTTCATGGGCTTGCACAGACACAACTCTCAAGCATGTCAAGGATGCTTCCTTATTTCTCTTTTTAAAAGTGAGAGTAGTGTTTTGCCTTTTCCAGTCAGAGGGAACGTCACTGAATTGCCATGATTTCTCAAAGGGGATTTGGAACTGGATGATCTTTAAAGTCCCTTCCCCTATGAGTCTATGATCACAGGCCACAGGTGTCAGCCATGTCCTGCTTTCCTTGCAGAGGCTATCAGGGCTCACCTACCCTCATGCATTGCTGCAGGTTGTTGGAGACTGTGGCCTTCAAGTTGAAGGTCTCACCCTGGACCACAGAAGATGGCAGTGGCAGCTCCACAAGAAAGGGCTTGGAAACAATCAGCCGGGAGGCTGGAGCAAACCCAAAGCCATTCCATCCTGTGCAGAACATTCCTGCTTTCCATTCTGTGATGGCGTCAGGCACAGTGACAGTGATGCTCTTGTTCCCACTGGGGCTGGAGAGAAGTGGACAGCAACAGAAGCATTTAATTGAATGATGCCACGCCAGGTGACCTGCTCTGTGTTCTTCTCTGCAGAGCACCCCATCCCCTCAGTCCAACCCCTACTGAAGTTGCAGCCCTTGCATGGTAACAAGTCCTTGTACAAGTGGGGACGCCATCTCAGGCGCTTCTACTGACAGAACACTTGGGTCAATAGGGCAAATAGGCTGCAAGATGCCGTCATTTACGGGCAGCACTTGCCCTTTGCACATCTAAAAATGACTTACAGATGTCCGCAGTCTTATTTTTCTGGCCTAGAAATGGAGAACCAGAAACCAACAGAGCAACAGGACAAGCAGCAGTAGTTCTTAGCAGATAAGGTTGATCCAGCCATTCTCTTTCCTGTGAGACACTGACAGCTTAAAGCGCAGCATGAGGGCAGGGCAGAGACTTGACCTGTGCACACATCACAGCTTTTGAGAGGACCAGACTGTTCTGCAGCTGCCACCACAGCCCACACAAAAAGCAGATACAGCTAAAGGTACTGGTATTATTCAACTTATTTCACCGTGCATGTACAGGAAGGCAACACACACAACACAGAAACTTTTGGTGGCTCGGATCAGGTTGGTGAACAAGCCCCAGAGGAAATATCTGCTGCTAGAAGTAAAGAGGTAGATGTATCTGTAAGGACAGTGGAGGTGGGAGAGGGCAGATGTTGATAGGAAATATACTCAGGATCTGGCCGGAGCATATTTCAGTCTTCAGAGGACACACAAGAAAATCTTGAGGTCTCAGATGAAAAATCTCCAAAAGCTCTCTCAGCAGACCCTGTGTACACGTTGAGCCTTTCTCACAGGACACAATTTTCAATCCTGTGAAAGACTTCTATGGACATCAGCTCCCCCTGGATACCAGGATACATCTGTGAGCACATTTTGGGAAATGCAAGCCCACAGGACTACCAAAAGCAGAGTATAGGCAATAAACTAAGCTGGTTTGCTGCACCTCATGTTTTCTATCTTCCTATGCCAGTCACCTCTCATGGATGACCAGCACTCCTAGTAGAGGAAAATGCATTTAATGAATACACCAACTCCAGCAATGAACAGCCTACAGGTATGAGCCCCATGATGTATGTCCTTAAGTGTCTTGCACAGCTGCCTCTGATCTAAACTCAGCTGCATCTGCTGCCTCTCTCAGCCATACAAAGTGACCCAGGCTAAACCCCCACTGCCCAGTTTACTCACCCCACAGAATACAAATCCCACAGCCAGGTTTGGTGAAAATGCCTGTGTGCTTTCTCCTCAGCTGCAGAAAAAGGTGGAAACATAGTGGGCTGATAGGTTGATGTCAGATGCTCTGTTGGAAAGAACAAAGAGCTATAGTCACCACAGGGTCCTCAGGTCCTGGTTAAGAGCAGAGGAGCTCCAGCACACCTCAGGCTGCAGCAATTGCAGTCAGCTCTTGGGAAACATGGCAACAGAACAAAATGTGCTGTCCCAAATTTTAAAATCGCTTGCCTCATTTCAAATGTCAGAGGTGCTTTAGGGCTTATTTGCATATGGAGGCACCATAGGACAGGCAACATTTCCCTCACTCCAGAGATAAAACCTGGGATCAGACATCCCACTAACAGCCCTCACATTAGCACAACAGGTTTAGGGACAGGAAACCCTCTTCCTCCTCCATTTGCACTTACAGCAAGTGCTGCCTCTTGGCTCAAGTCCAGGACTGCTTTCACAAGAAAGACTAAGCCTCCCATGTAAGAAGAAAAAGCTGTCAAATGCTTACTGTTATACAGTTTATGGGGCTGGGCAAATGTCAACATGGGCCTGGAAATAGATATTCCTCTTCCCCGCAGCATAGTTGTCAATGGAGTGGTTGGGCATACTCTGGGTTTCTTGATGTTGGTGTTGGACATAATTTTCAACCCCATTTCCTGTGGGAAAAAATTAATCTTTAGAAGATTGTCCTCTCTTCTCTGCCCTCTGCCCTTGTGCCTTCCTGTCCCCTCACACAGTGGGGCTTGGCTGTCTCTGTATTCTCTTGCTTCATTCTAAGAAGGAATAATTCAGATCCCCCGCAATGGGCAAACAAGCTCTTCTAAGGTAATTCATCTGGCCTGAGTCAGCCAAATTTATTCCTTTCAAACATATGGTCATTTGGGTACCATGCCTTCTCTGCCTGCAGGGTGCAATTGCTCATGCTATGAAGATTAAACAAATTGTGTGAAATCCAATTAAAGTAATGAATAATCCTTGGCATCCTGAGTCACACAACTCAAGTGTGGCAACCACACAATGATTTTTCCTTATACATTTCAAATCACCTATTCAAATATCAAGGCCTTAAACTGCACCTGTTCACTGTCCTGTCTGCAGCAGCATCCCTTGGATATTGGTAAAGTCAGGGCCCACATTTCCCTCAGTTCATGAATTATCTCAACCCACCAAATCAACCATTTTTACCCTGAATGCCGTAAACACATCAGGCTCATCGGAATTTGGGAGCCCACATGAACGATCATCTTCAGACACTTGGCGAGGATACCTGGCATTGTAAACAGATGGGAACAGCCCATAGATCTGAGAAAGCAAGGGGGAAAAAATCAGTGCAAGTTAAACCTGGCATTCCCTTCCTCTCCCACATCCAAGGCCTGTTTGAGTTGATTCTGGCTACTGTACATGAACATGTGCCAGAAAGCCCAGGATCGCTGTCACTCTTCCTGGGCTCTCCTCTGAGAGTGCCAGCACAGAAGCTGTTTTACCACCAAATGATGCTCAACATCTTCCTTAATCCCTAATTCCTACCCATCCACACTGGGAACACTGCTGATCCCTCCAGGCCGTGCTTTCAGTTTCCTGGAGGCAAATTCTGCACAGGTGCAGTGGCCTCCCTCCCACATGGCATCAGGAGGGAAGGGAAAATGTCAGGGCAGGCTCCCTCACCGAGTGGCTGCTCAGTTCTTTTCCTGGCTTCCTCCAAAAGGCGCTGGGATCCACAGCCCAGACTGCACACGTGGAGCCAGGAGCTGCCTGCAGGCGGAGGCCAACCTGTGAGCCAGGAAGAGTCTCTGGCGCAGAGAAGCTCAGCTCCACCTGGACGGGAAGAATGCAGGCAATGCCTGAGTGACATTTCTAACAGTGGCCACCCACCACTTCCCAAGCAGGGAAGGGACCTACATGAAGAAGAGTTTCCAAGGACCTGCCTTGGATAGACAGCCAAGGAACCTCCCAGGGACCCCCAGGAGGTATTTTAAAAAGACAACACTGAGGTTCTAGCAGGAAAGATGCCAGAGGGGGAGCCATCAGTGTGCACATGGAGACATTCCTGTGGACCCCAGATCAAAAATAAGCCTAGTCCTTATATCCAGGCTCTTTGTGGGATTGGCCTCGGTTTCCTGAAACTCCTCCTGTTCTTGATTGAATCTGACTGTCTATGGCAGACAAGCAGCTGTGAAGCTGTGCAGCAGGGGTGATGCCCTCTCAGAAATTCACCTTTGGAGTGCAAGACACAGCCAAGAAAGCAGATTGCCAAGGATATCACAATGACCAGATGTACTCAGCCCGTTCTGGATGGCCAGTAAAATCCACTTCTTCCAGCATCCACTTTCAGATGCCATCCCAGTACCACATAGTAGCAATTCTAATTGCTGCAGCAGCAGAGCAGCCCTGAGCTCTCCTGAGAATCACACAAATGATCTGTGCTGGGCTGGATTATCTATGATCCTGCCAGGCTGCAGTTGCCCATGGAGACAGACAGCAACTCTCTGCCTTTCCCAAACACTGCAGCAGCCCCCACAATGCTGAGCACACACTTTCTCCCAACATCACAGCACACCTCACCAGTCACAAACTGCAGTTCCTGTGACAGCATCACACACAGTGTCAGCCACACACAGCAACACAGCTCTCCTTTGATGGTAGCAGACACGTCCCTGCTCACACATTTAGTCACAGCCTCAGACACAAACCCTACCTTGTTTCTGAAACACGTGGAGACACTGAAGATGGCAGAATCAGCAATGATTTTTCCATTAGGGAAGATGACATAAACAACAAGTCTTGGAGCTGGGGCATAGGTCAAGCTGAACGTAAGAGGAATGGAGAAGGAGCCTTCCAGCACTAGATGGAGGAGAGGGAAGATTGATAATGAAAATAGAGTCTGATCATCTTTGCCATTCTGCATGTGCCTGTTTAAATCCTTTTCTCCTTTACTGAAGTCTTTCAAGATCAAAGAGATTTCTGGAGACTGCTGAAACAATCAGCACATCTCTCAATCTGGTATTCAAGACCAGCAAAAGACTTTTCTGTTTATTGCCTTGGGGACACAAGACAGTACTTTGGAGTTCAAGCTTGGCTCCACAAAGAGTGAGATTCTCAGATATCATTCAAAGCCTCCTCTCACCCAACATCTCCCATCCCACCACCAACAATGAGATGACCTTATCCAGAATACTTATAATTCAGAAATCAAAAAACAAGAGCTGGAGAAATAGGCAACAGTGGGTCAACAGCCATCAAATTTATAAAATGTGGCATCCTAATCATCCAGATTATTTGGAGACACTGTTGCCATGGAGAGTAAGACTGCAGTTTCGTGCTGCTCACAGGAGCAGCAGCAAAAGGAGACTTGAAGACAACAGAGGCTGAGCCTATGGGCTGGGAAATGCTGAATATTCTCTTGGTACAAAGCAGGAGGGCAAAGGGAACATGAAATCTGGAAAGGCACAGGGCTCTGACACAGCACACAAGTGGTGAGCCACCCCTGCATTGCAGGGAGACTTACACCATTTGTCCAGATAAGAGGGGATGCCACAGACCCCTGAGTGCTTGCTATGGCATGACACTGGGGAGTGCACTTACTTCTTGGCAGCCCAACCCAAACAGTCTGCTGACCTGCATGGACTATCCCTCTTTTCCCTGTGACCTAGAGAAGAACACAGAAAGGGATGGTCACACAGTCACACAGCCTTTGAGATCACTAAGAAATCCTGAAATTAAATTGGGATATTAAATGGGCACTGGGGGAGGAATATTAGCTTTATTTGCTCTCAGCTAGTAAGGAGAGCTCAGAGATGAAGTGGGGCAGGACAGGTAAGGCCAACACCTGCCCTGCACCTGTGCAGATCCTAAAAGAAAGGTTCTGCCTTTGTTGCTATTACTGCAGTACCAGAATCAAAACCAGTTCCATGATGACTGGAGGAACTCCCTGTCCCGGCTTGAGCCAAGACTTTGAAATATCAGGCTTGAACCTCTAAGAGATGCTGATGTTGGGCCCTCAGCTGTCCACCCACTAGTGCTTCCCCAGAAACTCACAAAGTAGGAGAAAATGACACGCTTGGGCCCATGTTCCAGGTCTTCCCCATAAATTTTGAAGTCCACCTGGATAGACTGTGTTTTATCACAGGGCATTGTCTCTGGCACACGGATGATAGAGAGGAAGCTCCTGCTGGTGCTGTAGAATGGGTGTATGAAATAAGAGGCTTGCTGGTAACTCAAGTCAGCTGTCCCAGGCTCTCTGTCTGAATCTTGATGCAGGACACTTGCCTGGTGAGACAAAAAACAAACCAGTTAGTTTCTCTAGTTAAACAATTCGGCTGCAAATCACCTTTGTTAGACAATCTGAGCAATGCCAATGACAGGTCTCTCTGTGGAGAGCTCATGAGGAAAGCAACCAGCACCTGGAGAATAAGCTCTCAAGAGGGAGAGCCAAGATCTAGAACATGCTGAGGTGTTTCAGGTTTGAGTTACTCTCCCTTGGGAAGGAGCAAAGAAGATGTTTGTGGGACAGTGAATAGCTCTGACATGCACACATACCCCTGCCATAAGACCACCCTTCCTCACTTACCTCCAGGGAGGCCAAGGTCCTGTTCCAGGTAGAGGTATTCAGGCTAAATGAAGCTGTTCCAGAGTCCCCAGTGATGTACTTCTGCCTAAATTGCTGCTCAGCACAGTTTACTACAAGGAGAACTTCTTTGTTCTTCAGTGCTTTGCCTTGGTAATCCATTACTTTAATCTGAGAATATCATGGGGAGCAAGAGAAGTGCAGAAGAATCTAATTAGCAGATAGAATCTCTGGTTTCCCCAAGTTAGGAGCAATGTTTCCAAAGACAGCAAGATCACTCTTTCAATCACTAATAATTTTATCAACACTGCCACTGTTCCTGTCATATTACCACTACCATGTTCATTCACAGAATCACAGAAACACAGAGTGGGTAAAGTTGGAAGGGATCACAGTGGGTCATCTGGTCCAACATCCAGTGGTCTCCACTCCTTCACAGCAGAAGACTTCCTGGCTGCTGAAATTCCAGATGTTTGAGTTTGCACCACCCCATATTAAAGCCCATAGCTGCTCCCCCTCATGGGTTATTTGGTAAATGGCAGTCTTGGGTGTTATTCTGACAATGGACAATTCCAGAGTTTTGTTTCTGGAAGTCATTTGTGCCCTCCCAAGCCTCTGGCTAGAGATGGGGTCAGAAAAGACAGTAAGTAAAGGATACTGTGAAATATTGCTCTCTCTCCTTCAAAGAACTGAAACTCGGAATTACCTTTCCTCCGTACACCTGTCCAGGGTGGTAGTAAGAATTCACATCATAAAACAAGGCCATCCCGCCAATCCTGGAGATGAGTAATTTGCGGGAAGCATTGACCTGTATCTCTGAATGAAAGCAGCAAGACAGAAACATGAGAGAGGGAACAAGAAAGCCAAGCACTCCTCAGCAATTTCCCTGCAGAGTGACCCACTGGTAATAGGGATGGATACGTTCAGCTGCACACACATTTCACATCCCACTGGTGATCTGCCCAAGATTCTGGGTACCTGGTCTTGCTCCCACTTAACTGCCAGCTTTTAGAGAGCCTCAGCACCTGACACCACACTCAGAGTGAGTGTGTCATGCCCTCAAGAGCTGCTGTCTCTGTCTCTATCTGTGAGGTTACATAGCAGGCCCCAGTGGGCTCAGGAGGCTCGGATCCCTTGCTAGCCTGAAAGTCTCCAGTGCTTTTGGTCAGATTCACATCTTCACCTGCCTCCTCCCAGGCAGCAGAAATCCCAGGGTTACCTGTGGCATCCTCCACCAGCGAGGCCTCTGCAGCTATGCTGTCACGATAGTAGCGAAAGTCTCGGCTGAAGGAGGACAGGCTCATGTTTGTGGAGAAGCAGCCTGCCTCATCTGTCTGAAAGTACAGGGAGGAGAAAGAAGCTCTGAGAGAGGCACTTGCATTAGATGTTATGGGAGAGGCAGAGGAGCAGTGGCATGGAACCCCTGCTCTTGGGGTGCTTTTCCTTTTGGCATTGCAGCCCAGGATGTGGAGCAGGCACACGACGAGCCCAGTCACAATCATTAGGCGCAGCTGCTGATGATTGTGTAGCAGCAGCCAAGCAGCCAAAACAATGTGTTAACATTGCTGTTACTTCAGCTAAAAGAGTCAGCAGCCTTGTGTTACCCTGAGGCTGAGCACAAATGCCCCTGAACACAGCTCAGCTCTTCCTAGGCATCTCACCTGGTTGCTGAATTTGTAACACAGATCGGGTTTGGAAGCACTGGGCAGGAACGGTGCTATCTTCTGACAAAGGCTCACATGAACCATCCCCTGGACGCTTTTCCCACGAGTGTATCTGTTTGGGGGAGCAGGGAGAGGAAGAGACGGTCACACACAGTGGGAGAACACATGGCCTGCTTTGCACAGCCCCAGAGACCCCTCCCTGCTGGATACTCACACTCTTGTGCTAGAGTGGCAGCCACACAGCAGGCCCATGACAGGGCTGTGCAATGATGGGAGATCAAGGGCTTTATGATATAATTAGCACCAAACTAAATTATTTTGGGTAACTAGAGTGTTGTAACTATATATCAGCATCACCTGCAATAACCCCAGGATGTGCTGAAGCCATTCATCATCTTATGACCAGAAAACATGGGTGATTAAGAAAGTGTCTTCTATTAAAAAATCACCTTTACATGGAGCTAACTGTGGCATTGTCCTTGGATTGTACCTGGGGTAATTCCTTTTTTCCTCCCTCTAGTTTCCACTTGAGCATAATCTGGAAAAGCTTCCCATCATTTCCCATGAGTTTATTCTTCAGGGAGATGAACCCCACATGTCTGTCATGTCCTGTCCCACAAACAGTTGCTTGTCAAAGGGCAGGCTGTTCCCCCAGGTTTTGTGTGTGGAGATTTGTGGAGTGTTTTTAGAAAAGAGGCATTAGAGTATCAGAATGATAGTCACAGGAATGTTTTGTGTTGCCTCAGGGTGCAAACAGCTGCCATGGAAGGTTCTGGCTTCCTGTGACTGAAGTGTAGTAAACTTGCCCTTTGGCTCCTCATGGTTTCCCATCCAGCTTGTGCAAATCAGGCCAGAAATGAGCACAGGGCCATCCCTCCAGTCAGATCCTCACCTGCCACATACCCGGAGCAGGAAGGTTGTCTCTAGTGCATAAATCTGATTTGGGGCCTCAAAGATCACTTCAAATTTTGGCAGCACTGGAAGGGAAAAATAGAGAACTGTAGGAAACACGGGCCAGGGACAGCCTTCACAAAGAATTAACATAAAGGCAAATAATGGTGGCATAAGGGACAGGAAATGGAGAAGGAAGGTGGTGAGAAGGGAAAGGAAAGATTTTCCAGTATCTTTAACAGATTTGTGTGTAGGCCCTGGATGATTTGCTCCTTCCCAAACTAAAACCAAACACACCTGTGACCCTGGTACTTCTGGCAACTATTTTCAATGAGAGAAGGCTGGCATCCCAATACAGCTGATAAGGGAATGAAAGTGAAGTAAGAGGCCACTGGACTGCATATTCTCTGGAAAAGTCTATCCTAAATTGCCTTGTTTTATCTGACTCCAAGATCCATTGGAATCAGCTGTGCCAAAGGTCTGGGGCCATGCACAACACTCCTCCCACACTCTAAGCCAAGGTCCCAAAGCAATCTCCTCTCCTGAGCCTCAGCTCAGACTTTTCTATGACTACCACTTTTGCTCCTGGGATGGTTTGGAGGAATAAACACCCTGCTTCCTGGGCCAGGAGTGCAGGGTGCTGCCAGGAGCTCAGACAAAGCCCTGTGTGCTCGTACCGCGCTCCTTGACGGAGAAGCTGCCGTAGGCGCTGGTGCTGGTGACATTGATGAGGTACGTTCCCAGCTGGGGCTCCTCACTCAGCTGGAAAGACAGGTCTGCAATGCCATCCTGAGGGACCACCTTCTGCCACTGCTCTATCTGGTTGTTCTTAGGGTCCTGCACCCACAAGAAAGAGGGAGTTGTTCCAGCATCTCACTGATCCACATCCCATAGAAACTGATCTTCAGGATTTCAGTGTTGTGGACTACCAGGTTCTATAGCTAAGAAAATGAGGTTTGGTACAGACTGATCTGGAAATTTGGAAGAGATGATGATGCTCAGATTCTGCTCCCAGCATCTGAGCCTCCTTCTGCACTTATTAAAACTCTGATTTTAAGCAAAGATTCTTCGCAGTTCTAACTTTCTTTCATAAGCATCTAAGTTTTCTATTTATTCTCTTGCAAGTCTAGAATAACAGATTTCTACTGAAGTGCCTGGGAGCATAACCTAAAAGAGGTGCATAAAAAAGAAAGTAAAAGGAGTATGTTCATTTAAACATTTAACATCCAACAACAACAACAAAAAGATCTACTATTCCACACAGAGGTCTGTAAAATCTTCCAGAAACTGAATATGTACCGCACAGTGAAACTACTGCCATCACCATTACTCTAACATGAAATTTCAGCATCACTTACCAGGAGAAACAGGGAAATCTGGGGAGGAAAAAATGCAAAAACATTAGAAGAGAGAAACATATGCCAGCACCACACACAAGGTACTTCAGACTCAGGACCCTCTCTGAAGGATGTGCAAAGTGATTCGGAAACGTAAGAGCATTGGCAACAATACAAAGGAAAACAAATGCCACAAAAAAAGGAGAAATACCAGGTCAGTTCATTACAGTAAGGTGTGAATAAAAGGAAAGGAAAAACTAATCTGGAGGTCACACAGTACTTACTAATGACTTCCTGACAGAAAAACTCAGAAGTCACTACCCAAACAAACCTAGTTCTGGTTCAGGTGTGGTCTTAAGAGGGTTACAGATGTATAGGATCACATAATTTGGAATAACCCTTTGGAAGCCACCTAATCCAACATCCTGCTGAAACATGTCTTCTTGAGCAGATTGCTCATAGCCTTCTCCAGCTGAGTTCTGAACATCTCCAATGATGAAAATTCCTTTTCTGGACATATTTCCACATTGTTGCAATCAAAAAGTTTGTCCTAAAAATGTCTAAACAGCACTTCCCACATTCCATCTTGTAGGGTGCAGGTTAAAAGCACCCTTCCCCACAAGAAGGAAAACCTGATTTACAATCTGCTCACTCCCCCTGTGACACCATCACATCAGGAATCAATGTCCATTTCTTGCAGCTGCCTGACCATTCTACCAAGATGGGCAAGAGACATGCACACCTCTGCCATCTCCCAGGCAGCTCCTATTGCCCTCTGCATACTCATAAAGCCTGTCAGGGGTGAATGTGGAAAAGCTGGAGCTTTGGCAGCTGAGCAGGGTGGAAGGGAGGTAGGATGCATGCATGGTACAAGGCAGCCTCTCCCGCAGCCCCCAGGACGCGCTTACCGAATCGTTGAGTGCATGGAATTCCTCATCCAGAGTCACAATGCGAAATTTCACTGAAGAAGGAAATCAGGGGATATGTTATCAGATCTCAGTTTTTCCCTACAGATCCCTGCTCCATGTGCTTCCCCAGCTTCTGTCTCCATTCTAGACACGCTTGTGGTAATGTCTGACACAAACATTCCCGCATGGAAGGTTCCATTGACATGGTTATTGTTATCTACTGCCTCCTGCAACTCCACAGGCATCACAAATCAGACATTACAAACACTGAAAACACCATTCAGCAAGAGATGTGGTCCCAAAGCCTTCTGCTAGGGCAGTTCATGCATTGCAGGGCATCACAGTCTTTCCACATGGTGCAACCACCAAAGAGCCTGGGACCCTCAGCTGCTCCCATTTACATCTCACCTGTCTCCCCAGGTTCATAGATGGGCTTGTCTGTTTGGATGATGGTGCCATTCCTGGACTTGCAGATCAGGACCTTTTTCTGCTCCTCAACATTGACCCCATCTCCTGTGATGGTCAGTTTTACAGTGGCAACCTCCTCTGTGCCATCAGCTGGAGGTGCAACCTGCACAGCCAGAGAGAGGAGAGCGAGCACACAGGTGATCTTCTGACAGTAAAGAGGAACAACTCACTGGTTCCCTCCCACTGTGCCAGGAGGAAACAATTAGCAACAACCTCTGAAACCAGGTCACATCCAGATCTCACACAGTCCTGCATGAACAGCAGGAGGTCCTGCATGCCATGGAATCTCTCCTTTTTCCCACTTGTGACAAGCAAGCACCTGACAGTTTTCAGTCTTTAGACTTCCTCAGGAAGATGGACAGATGACAGAAAGGTGAGAGATGCTAGCAGATATTCAAAAGAGAGAGATCAAGCAGTTGCACAGCCTCAAATGCTAGGCTTTCAGAGCTACCCAGTGCTTACAAGCAAGAAATCCAAAGTAGAAAACACAACCAGAAAGACTCTGGATGCCAAGGACCCCAGCAGCCTCAGCAGAGAATATACAGTATAACAGAAGGGATATTGCTTAGACATGTCTGCTTTATCCCAGACCTTTGCTAAGTTCTCACCAACAGTAAATAACCTCTAAGATGCTGTTTAGAAAAACAAGCATATAAATTTCCATCCAACTAGTCTTCAGTAGCTCCCAAGAGCTGCGTTGCTGCCTGACTTCAGGTGCTACAGAAACTGCAGCATGTCCTGCAAGACACCATTTCCCCGAGCTTTGGCTGTGAACCTGCACAAGTCCTTCAGAAAGAGCTAAAGCTGCTTCATCTGGCCTGTAATGGAGGAGAGGGACACAGGTGGTATCCTGAACTCCGGAAGATTTTAACAAATGTAAACTTCATTTCAAAATTCGATTCAGAAAGGAAATTCAGTGCTAACCAACAGGCTGTGTTGGGTTGTGCATCCCTGGACACCACCCATTCCCCGTCCTGAAAGGCTCACACCAGGACAAAGTAGACCCCAGCCATGTCACCCCTGGTTGGGAGTAACACAAGCAATTTCTTGAAAGGAAAATCAGTGATGGCATTTGCCTAGGGTGGCTCACCCAGAACTTAGTGCACAGGAAAGTCTTCTTCTTCTGGATGGTTTCTTGTATTAAGAGCTCCCGTCCTGCAGAGCGCTCCAAGGCCAGATTCACTTGAATTTTTGCCTCATGGCAGGTGATGTGGAGGCAGGCAACCTGGGTGGATGGGTACCGGAGAGCTGCAGGGATCACCACCAGGTAATGTCTGTGGTGGGGGAGACAGCAGAGGTGGTATCAGTCTGAGCTCTCAAGAGGTGTAAGAAAGCTGCTCTGCTGTGGCCCACTACTGCAGAATCCTGCAGCAATGTGCCATGGCTTCCCTCAACATTTGAAAGCAACAGTGAAGCAAGGCAGTTGCTTCACTGAAACTTGAGAAATAGATTCTGCTTGATTAGCTTAAGTATAGCCCTATAATCTTTTTCAAACCCCTTATTCCAATAATCTCCTGAACTCTCCAGAAACATCCCATGCTGTCTTCAGAAGAGGTGGGTTCATAACCTTGCAGTCTAGACACCAATTATTTGCTCTGCATTGCAACTGCAGAGCAAGCATCTCTGGGCCTAAGGACTGACCTGAAAGACCCCCAAAAAGCTTGTATTGACCTGCAGGAGTCAAACTAAGGCATGGGAGGCAAGGTGTATGCCTCAGCTACTCCTTGGGGTGACTGATAGAGCAGGAAGCATGAGAGCTGATGGCATGGGATGTGGTCCATCCAGCTAGACTGATGAAAGAGACTGGAACAGGAGTTCAGCGTCACTCACAGTTGGTGAGAAGCAGCTGCAGCATGGAGCAGAAGGCTCAGGAGGATGGCTATCCTCATCCTGGGGGCTCTTGCTGCCCCGTCTCAAGTGGCTCTCTTCCTCTGAAATCTCTGAGGCTGTTTATAGGGGGGGCAATTTTTTTCTAGCACAGCCTAAATGAAGAGGTGGGATGTGGGGAGGACCCAGCCTCGCCCCACCTCTCCCTGTCTCCTGAGATTCCACACAGCAGCTGCAAGGATGAGTGCTCTGTGCCAAGTGTCCCTTAGCCAATAGCAGCCACCCTGGCTGCCAGCCACCAGTTCAGAACATGCCCTCCTGCAAGGCTGCCGTGGAGGCACCTGACCTAATGGACTTCTCAGGCAAAAACACAGTGAGAACTTTGCTGACCAGTGACCCAGGCCAGGTCCTGATCACTTGTCACTTGCATCCCTTTGTTTCAGCTGGAGATGGATTGCCGCTGTGCAGCCTGCAGCAAGAGCTGCCCCCTGCACATGCAGTGTCCTCACTGTGGACAAAGCTCAGGAGCTCTGGGTCAGATTAGGGGGGTGTGGATCCCCTCAACCTGTCTGGCTTGAGAATGGATCAAATCCTTCCATGTGCATAAGGAAGCATCACTGCCACCAGACAGCAACCACTAATGAGCTAATGAGCTAATGACTTTTTCTTCCCTGCACACCACGAGGAAAATGGAAACAAATCCTGGCCCACAGAGGTCTCCACCAGTGCCCTGCAACACCCATTAGTCATGGCATCATCTGCAAGGGGGGTGGCTCAGGAACAGCTTCCAGTTCTTCATTATCCTGGGTCTGAAAGGTCTGGCATCCAGGGATACAGCGTTTTGGTTCTGCTTTTGATCCAGAGGGTCAGGTTAAAACTCACAAATTAAATATGTGGGACATCTTGTAAGCACTGATGGCAGCCTGTACAGTGGGTAGTCATTTGTCCTGGTTAACCAGTTTTGCTCCAGAAAAGCACAGCCACCACATCAAGTACCTGCTGTGAGCAGTCCACAAACGGCATCAGAGTCTTATGTGAGACAGCCTGAGCTGAGATGTACAAGGGACTGTCCTAATAACACAGGCAGCTAAAGTTCTGTGCCTGGAAATATTTCCCAGTGCTGTTTAACAGTGCCTATGTAGCCTAATCTTTCCATACCTGCATCCCAACATGATGTTATTCAAGCAATCAGTTGGGATCTCTTCACCTGGCAAAACCAGCAGGATGCACAGAAGTGTTCAGCTAACTTGGGAGCCCTGCTCCCAAGGCTCTCCATAGTCTCTTCCAGATGGAGTTGAAAAGGCTGACATGCATCATGAGGGCTGCACATTATGTACAGAATGTTAGTGCTAACTAGTACATCTCGCCGTTCACTTGATTGAGATAACTGGTCAGAGGCTGATAGAAGTCAATTCTGAGTTGGTCTAAATCACTGTTAGGCTCCTTGGCAAGGGAGACTAGACACTTTTTATTTTGAAGAACACATTCTCCCCATTCTTGTCTCTTTGTGTCCTTCTCAAGGAAAGAGGTCACATTACTGAGGGTGTCAGTCACAGAATGGGTCAGGTTGGAAGGGACCACAGTGGGTCACCTGGTCCAACCTCCCTGCTGAAGCTGATTCCTCCCAGAGCACACTGCACTAGATGCCATCTAGTCAGTTTTCAAATATCTCTAGTGAGGGAGACTCCGCAACCTCTCTGGGCAATCTGTCCCAGTGCTCAGTCACCTGCACAGTAAGAAGTTCTCCCTCATATTTGTGTGGAATTTCCCGTGCATCAGTTTTTGCCCATTGCCTCTTTTCCTATTGCTTAGCACTTCTGAAAACAGTCTGCCAGGCAAACTTACAAATTTTTTGTCTAGAACCAGATTTTCCCACAAAAAGCATGAGCCAGATCGATCACAAATCACAGCCAGAGAGGTCCAGATGCTGTCAGATTTCTGGCAGGAGCTGCACCCACTGGGGCCAGCACTGAGGAGATCTCTCTGACCCTGTCCCACCATGCCCTCCTACCATGTTTGCCCAGGTGTGCTCTCTATTCCTTGTTTAGCTTTGGCAAACCTGGCTTTTGGTCACATGAACATACATTTGAAGGATCTGTACCAAAGGCAGTGACTGACAGCTGCACAGCTGTCACAAACTCAAAGTCTCTGCGGCAGAGAAAGCAAAGCAAGGTTGTGCAGCCTTTCTAGGTCTATCATTTTCTTTCTCTATATGGGCTCCAAGAAGGCCTTTGTGACAGAAGTGTTGAGCCAAGATTCCCATGGGGAGTAAGGGATCTATTCCTCCTGAAAATACACTTCAGCTGGAGCAAAGAACATAGTCCATTCGGGCAATGCAAAACCACATAGAAACCTCTTCTCCACAGTTAAAACCTGAATAAAAAACTGAAAAGGAAGGGAAGTCTCAGCAAAGGTCATACATATGATAAATTGATAACATTGTCCATGGTTCATAATGAGGAAAAGGACCTTGAAAATCACTCCTGTGTTCTAATATCTTTGACGAAAATAAAAAGGCAGTGGTCTCAATGAACTGCATGAGGAGAGTACTGAAGAAGTATCCATATCAGCAGAGCACTTTGACAGGAGACTGTGCAGAGGGGAGGAAGTCCTCACTTTCTTTGAAGAAGTACATCTGTTGGAGAGCCTGTAGAGCAGAGTAATTCATCAAAGCAACTGAATTGCTCTTCATCCTCCTCTAGACACTTATCACCGATGTCATACAGGCCTTGGTCCTCCTCTGCTGTTGCCTTCTTTCC